TGCTGATATATTTCGTATGATTTCAGAGACTTTAAAAGTTTAAGGCCGTTTTATATACTTTAAGTATCCTCGATTTTCTGTACATAAAAGAACCTGAAAGTAAAGCGTTTTTTCCACATTCTGAGCCCTTTTCTATAGTGATTAATTTATCGTATAGATTTAGCTTGAGGTTATTAGAAGAGCTTAGGAAACCAATTCAAACATCCAGTTAGATTAAGTTGAAGTTAGACATTAACACTACCGGATGCCGGCTCAGTGCTTTAGAGGTTAAGCGTTTACGTACGAAACTGATAGGTCCTGGGTTCGAATCTCGCGGGGCGGTATCGTGGATGAACACTACTGAGGAGTCCCACAGTAAGATGAAACGGCCTTCCAGTGCCTCCAGGTTTTTCATCGTGGTCTAGCTTCAACTGACTGATGAATTCAATTATAAAATAGAGTATTTTTGAAACAAAGTAAATTATGTTACAGTATTATTATTATGTATTCAAGATAAATAAATACAACCAGAAGTAATAAGAAGCAAATGATTCTCAATATCAGTAATTGTTTAATCAACTAATAAAACTAAAATTAATAGTACTCTTACTAACAAGGGATAATATGTTTTAAATTAAGTAGGGCATTTAAGTAGTTCGCTGTCTACAGAACCATAATTATAAATGTAGATAAAAGATACTCGATTTATTGGTGGGAGCATAAATACATGGAATGAGTGAATCCACATACTCCTTGTGACGGTTATAGTTAGTTCAGTTATACCAAACTATTTTTTGTCCACGATTAAATAAGATATATATACTAAACAAAATGCGAACCATTAATTAAATGAGCAAAGATGGATAATGGCTGTCAATGAAATCGTGTTTTGGACTCGTCAACTCAATGTACCTGCATCTCAGAGTTAAAATTCACTCTGAGACTCAAACCCAGTACCGGTCGCTTCAAATGTTATCGCGTTATCCGTTTAGTTACTGAGTCCTGACAGCCACTTGCTTGTGCAACGAGGTGAAGTTTCAATTCACTTGAATCTTCCCGTAGATGTTTAGGACTGCAATCGATCAGTCTCTTATTGGCATAAGTAAACCATGTGCAGATTGTCTCGATATTGCCTTGAGTCACGAGCTTTATAAGCAAAGATGGATAGTGGCTAGCAGTGAATTCTAGGATGCGTGTTTCGTCCTATTAGTTAAATGATGTGTAAATATAATGTAAACAAATGAACTAATTTTATTTATAGTATGAAAATATCTTTGAGACTTCAGAAGAACATGAAAATAAACAAGTACTTTTGAAAAGGTAAAATTTTCCAATATTAATTAATAGTTAAACAAAGCAGCTTCCTAAAAAATCAGTATGAAAATATATTAGTATGGAGAATTTGCGGAAATTGTGATATTCTCACACTTGATATCACATACTAATGTTATTTAGACCACTATCGAATACCTGGAGGCACTGGACAGCTGTTTCTCCTAGTATGAGACTCCTCAGCATTGTGCAACCACGACCCCACACACACGGTAATCGAACCCAGGTCATGTACGGGAGCGTTTAAGCTCTAAGTTCGTATCCAACCGTGTTAATACCGTAACTATCCTCCATGGTCTTCAGTGAGTAACTGTTTCACGTCCGACACGGATTAGCTTGAATGTCATGGCTTCGTACTAGAACTCCGGGAACTTTCGAAGCTAGTCACTAGTCATCACATGATAATCAGATATATCACTGATCCAATCGTCTCTTGATTAACAAAGAACAAAATTATTTTGATTGAATGAAATATTATACTTTATCATTTTAAGTTTCAAACAAAACTCGAAATAAAACTACATTCAGAATAAAAGTGTAGGGTGGTTGTCTACCGATTCAGTTTAGTTAAGCAACAGTGCCGTCTTTAACGCTATGTGTATAAATTAATAAAACGCTATCAAATAATAAGGTTAAATGATGCTATTCAGTTGTTTAAACCGAATCCAATACAGTGGAGTTCGAACTGGTAACTTAGTGGCTGAAATTTGAACGCCTAAACCACTACTCAACCATCGATCGAATTATATCTTACATACTTACTCCCAATGGAGCATAGGCCGCTGACCAGCATTCTCCAACTCACTCCGTCCTGGGCCTTCTTTTCTAGTTCCATCCAATTCTTGTTCATTTTTCTCATGTCTATCTCCATTTCCCGGCCTAATGTGTTCTTTGGTCTTCCTCTTCTCCTTTGGCGTTGAGGATTCCATGTGAGGGCTTGTCTTGTGACGCAGTTGGGTGCTTTCCTCAATGTGTGTCCTATCCACTTCCAGCGCTTCTTCCTGATTTCTTCCTCCACTGGGATCTGGTTTGTTCTCTCCCACAGCACATTGTTGCTAATAGTGTCTGGCCAATGGATCTGAAGTATTTTGCGTAGACAATTGTTCATAAACACTTGTATCTTCTGGATGATGGCTTTCGTAGTTCTCCAGGTTTCTGCCCCATACAGTAGAACTGTCTTGACATTTGTATTGAAAATCCTGACCTTGGTGTTGGTTGACAGTTGCTTTGAGTTCCAGATGTTCCTCAGTTATAAATATGCTGCTCTTGCTTTGCCGATCCGCGCCTTCACATCTGTATCAGATCCACCCTGTTCATCAATGATGCTGCCCAAATACGTAAAGGTTTTTACATCTTCCAAATCTTCTCCGTCAACTGTGATTGGATTGGTGCATTCTGTGTTGTATCGGAGAATCCTGCTTTTCCCTTTGTGTATATTGAGACCTACTGCTGCTGAGGCTGCTGCCACACTGTTCGTCTTCTCCTGCATCTGTTGTTGCGTTTGGGTTAAAAGGGCCAGATCGTCTGCGAAGTCTAAATCATCCAACTGCATCTTAGATGTCCATTGTATCCCGTGCTTCCCTTCAGACGTTGACGTCTTCATGATCCAGTCGATCACCAGGAGAAAGAGAAAGGGTGAGAGTAAGCAAACTTGCCTAACACCGGTCTTCACTTCGAACGACTTTGTCAACTGTCCTCCATGCACAATTTTGCAGTGTAATCCATCATATGAGTTCTGTATGATATTGACTATCTTCTGAGGCACGCCGTAGTGTCGAAGAAGTTTCCATAGTGTTGTTCTGTCCACGCTATCAAATGCCTTTTCGTAGTCAATGAAGTTGATGTAGAGTGATGAATTCCATTCAATTGATTGTTCGATCGAATTGTATCACTATCCATTATTCTCGCTACGTATGATTGTAATGAATAAGCTAACTGAATATTTAATCAATGTTACCGATTTTAAACAGTAAATATCTTGTAGAGAATGAATAATTAATTTCCAATTATTAATTGTTTTTCTATTACTAGCCCATACCTTTTAAATAATCACTAAGTTACTTAAATGGTAAATGATTCATTTGTATTTCATTGTTAATTTTACTAAGATTTAATTGAATAATCTTTTCTTTTTTTAAAAATGTTATAATAAGCCACATAGAATACTGACAAAAAGCCTATAGTAACTAGTCGTAACCTAATTAATATGCATACAACCATGGTTACAATGAAAAATAGAAAGAAATACTGGACAAACTTGAAGAGAAAAAAGAAAGAAAGAAAGAGAAATACCATCTTCCTTGTTCTGTGAACATCTAGTTAAAAGTTTTATTTTAGAAATCATAAATTTACACTAATTGACTACTCACTGTATATTAACTAATATCATATTGAATTAATCTTTAATCATCAACAAAACGGATTGAACTACTAAAAGAAATGATTATCGCGACTTAAACACCTCAATAGGTGATTTAAATCCCACAATAAATATCAGTTACCCGAATATTGTAGATATATCTACCTGAAAAACTGCAACTAGAATAAAATCTCAGTTTAGGTTATCCTGTTCATCATTTATAATCAGTCCCACCGATAGACACTATTCAAAGTATAATCAATCCGTAGGTATAGTCAATATTGAGGTATCAGTTTAAGAATACATATAGGTCAACAGAAATTGATCAATTAAATGATGTGGTTCTAAATATCACAAACAGTGATAAGTACAAACGTCCACAATTAGTAGCCGACTTTGTAAAACTGTCAAGTATTGACTATTCGTAAAATATATATGTATATGAAAAATAAACAAAATGAAGACTATGCAACCCAATCACTATCACCAAAATAAGTCAAGAAAAATAGAGAAGTAGAGATAAATTACTAGTTTTTTTACAGCTAACTGGTCATTGAATAGTGACTAATGTCATATTCTTTTAGAGTTGACTGAGTTCAATCGATCATTTTAGAATATGACCAATAGTTTAAATGTTTCGACATCTCCTCCACTATACTGTGATACCAGATAGTTACAGGAAGTAGATAGGAAACCTATTCAGTGATCAATTTATCAAAAACTTATTCAATCATGTTAAACTCAAGTTGAGTACTGAACGAATAAACTGTAAGTAAACAATTCAATGGCACTAAATCTTTTCACAATTTTATTTATCATAAAAAATCGAAATGTTCAGTACATGAATTGTACGTGATTAGCTTGATGTAAACGAAAGAAAAATAAGATAAATCACATTAATCTCCTATACAAAATCATAAGACAAGTTTGTTTGTTTTTTTAATCCCATCAAATTGAATTACTGTTCTAGGTCAGTTTTTCAAATTATATGAAACATTAAAAATAACAAACTATGTTCAATGATCAATCTTTATTTAGAGAATGTTCAGTATTGGAATTTGTTTGTTTATTTTGACATTATTAAAATAACAAGAAAAATATATAAATAATGTCATGGACAAAGGTTATAAAAATAAACAGTAATAAGGTTATTCGAAAGAAAAAAAATTAGTTCACTGTGAAACACTTAAATATTATTGTCTATACACAGTTACATTACTGATATTCTTCACGTGTGTTCTAGTGCTCACTTCAGAGAAAGCGAACGGGGGAAAATGGGGGAAACAAAAAGAAAAAAAATGGCTGACAAACTGACAATTTAAAAAAAAATTTAGTTTTTTGAAAAATGGTTCATGATTTTTTGAATAATATCTGATTTTTTACTGGCTGATATTTTGAGACCAAGTGATTTGATTGTTTCACGTAATACAGGTATTGTATATTTGTGTAGACTATCTGATTGAACAGCTTCTTTACATTCTATCTCAGATAAACAACATTTTGCTTCTTGATTACAAGTGGATTGTGTAGGACGAGGTTTCTGTGTTTGTAGGAGAAAATAAAATAAATACGATCAATGATATTAATAACAAGTAACTGTAAACTTAATACAACTTAGTAAGTAAGTTCATGTAGAGACAATCGGCTTTCAGTTCAATTTACTATGTAAGAATAAGAGATATTACCTTGGTTTCTCATAACTAAGTAAACGGAGACGGGTTTAAATATGTGACTGAGAATGTTAATAGACTATTATTGGATCACTTCTACACGATACATAAAAAAATGGTGGTTTGAAGCCCTAAAACAGCAACATTTTTACCAACAATACAAATAAACCTTGCATATATCCTAAACAACACATGGATTATAATAGTGATGGCCTTAAATCATATAAAGTCATCAAATAAAGTATAGCGTATTATCAAAACTGGTTACCAACTAGTACCCCGTAAAGAAATTTAAATAGTTCAGATAGAAATTAAAAATACTTTTATTGCGCCGTACATAAACGGTGCTATGCACTTAACAATTGATATACCATAAATATCTTTCACAGAAACATAGCTACTACAATAAATACCTAATTTGATAGTTGTGGTCAATTAACTCATTTGCAAACACTGTATATTGTGAATTACCGCAAAATGATTGGCGTTGAAATTATACCATTAGATGCCATATCAGTAATTCAAATAGTTATGTGTTCACCGTTAGACTTGAAAATTTTGCATTTAACCACTGGAGAGTCATAAGTGGGCAGTTTTATGGAGTCCCATACTACAACAAAACAGGTAAAAAATGTTCCTTAGTTTCCAACAAATTTGTACTATCCTCACACTAACTAATATTCAAGAATTAATTTGATCCCCTTCACAAACTAATGTTTGTTAATAGATCAACAATAAATGAGATCTTATGAATTCACCTAACTGAGTTGGTATTTTAAATAAAAGAACAAATCGGTTACATGTTTATAATAACAAATTATTAACGTATAGTGAATGTTATGTAACTGGAATTGAATTTGAATAATAGCTAGTTTGTATATTGATGATTTTTTCACATATTTCAATATTCTAATTAAGTGATGACATAATTTACTGATCTCTTGTAGAATAATTTATGAATATGTATCCTACTGATAAAAAAACGGTCAATTATCTCGAAATGTGTTAATCAATTGTGGAGAGATGTCTTAATTCGATACTTAACAAGACTGTTAAATAACTACGGTTTACGGTGGCGCGACTTCGTGGATTGGTTGAGGTTCGACATTAGCCACGTTGGATGCTGGCTCAGTGGTCTAATGGTTAGGCGCGTTCGCGCGCAAGACCGGTGGATCCTGGGTTCGGATCTCGCGGGGAGCGGGATCGTGGATGCGCACTGCTGAGTACCATACTGGGACGGAACGACCGTCCAGTGCTTCCGGGTTTTCCATGGTGGTTTAGCTTCAATTGACTTATGATTCCAACTATTGAAATTTCTATTTAAAAAAACCTCCATAAAACTCCTTCTAATAACTATAAAATAAATAATAATCTTTCCAATAAAGTTTCCTTATAAGTATCATTACCAAGGTTTGATTTGATAATTTCGAATAAATTGAGCATTGGGTAGATTGTTATAAATAAATAAATAATATATTTGTAATATCTCAATGAGCAGAAAAATTAGATTTTCTGACGTTTCGTGACTTAGTGTAAGTCACTTCTTCAGAGAATAAATAACCAAATTAAAATTGTTCCGTTAAATGTTTCCTTATGTTGACAAATAACAGTGTATGATTGAAGATTAGTTTTAGCGAAATGCATAAAAACAGTGTAAGTGATTAAATAAATAATTAAATTTTGAGGCTTAATAAAACATTCTAGGACTGTCGAAACGTCATTAAGTAGGACAGGACTCAAATTCATATACCTCCACGTTGACTGGCTAGCCAAAAGATATGTTTTTAGATTAATATAACCAAGGTAACTCCTTACAAAACACTCAGTCGTATAAACAGCTTTCAAGTTACACATTTACATACAACTAGTAATATTATTCGCTGTTTAAACCTGCCTGGTCGGTGGCCTATCCCTTATGAGGAGTAAGAAGTAAGTAAGTAAGCCCAAGCTGTAATCCACTAAGTGGAAAGTTAAGTCCTTTAAGTAATACGAAGTCAGTGTTTCAAAATTAATGAAACTAAAGGCAGATTAAAGGCTTAATGTTTTGAATGTGATATTCTTCATGAATCGACTTCATTTAATGTGTCATTGAAAACCGGGGAGCACTGGAAAGTTGTTTCGTCCTAGTATGGAACACTTTTCATCAGTAACCAATCCATAACTCCATACATAAATGGAATCCACGACATTCAGGTTTCACAGAGAACACTTGATCCTTAAAATCACTGAGCTGATTAATAATTCAGATGATATATAATCCCAACTTTGATCAATTTTAATTCTTATGGACTCACAAATGCATTACTACTGAATGCCAAATATAGATTTTTTTCTTTACACTTTACTTTACTCACTTTGAATATATTCTCGTTATTTAAATTGAAACATTCTTTGAATGCTGTAATTTCTTCACTGGCTCTTCTTTTGATAGCTCCAAATTTAGGTACTAAAATGATGATTTTTTTTTGTCAAACAAACAAAAAATCGAATTTTAATGTTTTTATCACCAACAAAAAAAATAGAAGAGAAACAACATAGAAATGTTAAAACTGATTCACAAGAAAACAGAAGAAAACGAGTAAAAGTAGAATAAAGTGACTTATCGAATTTCCTGTTTTTCATAGTTAACATCACAGAATATTAATGGTTAAACAACTATTGAAAAATAAGTATATATGTGAGCAAATTGTTCAGGATGTTTGGCGCAAATACATCACATTTTTCACATTAACTCTTTCTCATCGTTCTATCGAAATTTATAAAAGAGACTAATTGAACGTATTGAACAGCTGTTTAGTTCTTTAGTAATGTACATCCACAACCGCGTCAACAGGGATTAAATCTAGGACCTCTGGTCATGACCGCCAAAAAACTGAAGCAGTATCTAATTTCATAAATTTGTAATATTAGTACCCTCCCCTCTAGCAAATAATTATGTGCTAACCAGTGACTAATTTTGAAATTTTGATGAGAATCTATACCCAGTGATGTTTCACCATGTCGATTGTGGGCCGGTTACCCATCAAGTATATTGGAAAATGATTGCTTGATACTATGAATTGAGGCAATTAACAGTATGAGTTTGTGAAGATTGTTGAGTTTCAATCAAATGATCAACCGGTCAATGTTAGGCCATCACTGAAAACCTGCAAACACTGGATGTTCATTTGTTTGACTAAAGTTAGAGACTAACACCGTTGGATTTCAGGTTAGTGTTCTACAGGTCAAGTGTTACTGCGCGAAATCGAAGATCCTGGATTCCATTCTCGTGTATAGAGTAGTGAATGCTCACTGCCGGGAAGTCATTTAGTGACCCTATATCTAACTCCAAATAAATCACATGATGACCGTTATCGAAATATACATGCCGCCAACCTTCATATAGATTTTATCGACTTAATTTGCGTTAGAGAATAACGGGACAAAATAAGCCAAATACAAGAATGAATTTTGAATACACATATCTCATACACTCATTGATCCAGACAGACATTGTGAGAAACGAAGTGAAGGAAGCAAAACAAAACGAAGTGACGTGCAGTGGAGAAGACGAGTAAGTCAACTCGACTTAATCAAGCGTGACTTGATATTTATAATCAAGCAAAAATAAGTTATAGATATGTGATGAATAGAGTAAGCAATTAACACACGTATGATCATATAAAAACAGTCAGGGCTAATAAGCAAATAAACTACAAGGTCAAAATGTGGCTTGAGACGAATGAATAAATTATCTGTCCAGAAGCTAGAATAATTTATGTGGGCTTGACATAGTAACAGCCACTACGGTCCCATACTACGACGAAAAGGGCGTCCAGATTATTCAGGTTTTCAATGATGTCCTAACAATGGTCGGTTCATGATTTCAATGAAACTAATGCGATTGAGAGATCCAAATCGTTAGAACCCAATTCAGTGATCTAGGAGTTGAGAATTCGCATGAGATCAGAAGTCAAAGGTTTAATCCCTGGTGCAACGACCGTGTATATGCACTGCTGTGGAACCCCATATCAGGACGACACAAACTCCCAATGCTCCCAGGTTTTCAATAGTTGTATAACATTTAGTGTCTCTTCCAAAGGGGGACAGGGGATATTATTGAGGGGCCGGGAGAGAAAGCGCTGGTTGAGACAGTCTAGTGCTAGGTGACGTCGAGTAGAGTGTTCTAACGGGGCGGTGTTGGTTGTAGCAATCGCTGTCGATGGAGGAGAGTAGTGGGACGTGTGGCTGCTGGGCAGACATCGTATGTAGATGGTTCGGCAGGTTGCAATATTTACAGTTGACTGACCACTGAGTAGTGAGCAATGTCAAACTTGTGTAGTCTTTAACGGGTGTTAGTGTTGAACAATGTAAAACAACAAAAACTTTCAATAACCTACATGTATGATCAACAACTTCCGACTGAGTTTCACGATTAAGAGCTAATGCTTCAAGAAGTGAATAAAACCGTTGTAATGTTGGATTTTCAATTTGTCCAGGAGTAAATGGTACCATAAGTTTACGTATCATGGCCTTAGCAATATCCACTTGAGATTCGTTAGCTAAAAAAATTATTAACAAAAATCCCAGAGTAGTTAAACTCTCAACACTATCAATCGTAATAGAACACATTAGATATGAAATTATGATTGAAGAAGAATAAATGAATTAGAAGGATAGAAAGTATAAGATGATTTTCATACTCAAGATCTAGGTGATCTAGGTACTGATCCCTCAATGATGTGTCTGTCAATAAGGATAATGCCTTGATTCACACAACTTAGCTGTAGATTGACTATAAAATTTAAATCCAGATAAATTATTATGAAACGATGTATCTTGGTACATTTTTCTTCGGATTAAAATATAGTTCTTTTTCACTGCTCATATTCTACAGACTGTGATTTCTTGTAGAATTTTTTAGATTCAATCAAACAACACAGTCTTGGAAATGTTCCCCTGAAAAAATACCACGAAAGCAGTACTACAAAATCTGTGTCAGCAGAGAAGGGTCTAGACCTAAGACGTACCGGCTGAAAACCCTTTTCCTATGACTAGTACATAAGTCTGAAATTAACTTAGTGAATTGCACTATTTATCATTAAATAATCAGTTATGCAAAATGAACCGAATTTAGAATTCTATAATTAAAACAAATAATAATGATAATAATCGTACCTATTTCATTCGTTGGAATTTCAATATCACGAAAATCATCAGCGTAAGGTAAAAATATAATATGAAATCCGGGTGGTATTGTTTGAGTTCTATTAGCACTGTCACCGTCATCATCATCATCGTTTATCTGTTCGGCCTAGATAAATAAAGTGGACAGGAATCATTTAATATGTTAGTTGAATATTATGTATGAAATTTATCATGGCCCGATATAAACTGGAGAAAAAGTGACAACCAAAAAGCACTAAATAGTTGTTTAGGAATTCACCAACAGTGTCTAATGACAATCCTCCTTCTCTCAAGTGGGAACGGAACTAGAAACTTCAAACTTTATACCTTAATATCACTTGGACAAGATACAACAGTAGATATCTGGTGTCTCTTGTACCAATGTTTATGTATTAAAATAAATAAATAGATAACCAAAGTAGTTTTAATGAATCCGAAACCCAAATGATCACACACATTTTATGAATAAAAACGTTTGGTAAATATATTTTTCACATAATCATTAAAAAGGATTGGAAAGAGGAATAAAATACGCATGTTAGTATGATTTTTAAGAACAAGTTCCCAAGTTCATACATTATTTACTACTGTTAACTTTAGTTTAAGAGTCTCGTCAGTATCGCTAAACGTAACACATTGTTTTTAAAATGATTAGTAGTTCTTCGGTCCATGTAAATTAATTAGGATTTTCATATGAAGTACCTGTAGGTATTGCATGTGCTTTATACCTTCTATGTGCAAAGCACTTTTAAAAGACTGGTAGGACTCTGCGTCTGAACTGACCCTTGGTAATGAATAGGTAGAAGTAGTCAAGAAATTCGTATACTTAAGTAATGTGAGTGATGTGATCAATTCACGTATGTTGAAAGTAAGATAGGCTTATGCCAACCTGTGTTATCTTTGGTGTATTCATGTTGTTAATCTGTTTGACTACGATGTCAAATCATTTAGACCTTGAAACTTATTGGTTATTAGAATTCGATTGATACTAAAGGATTAGACACACATCACATTAAGCATAGAACAAACAAAAATTACATTGCTACATCTATATTCCAATATTGAAACAAAAAGCCGACAATTTGAATAGTTTCTTTGAACTAAGAATGTAAACTATTTTGTTTTTACGACGAAAAAAAGATTTAACATTAGATGGAACTCATCATAAATTATAGGAAATAGGCTGAAAACACAATCGAATCCTGAGTCGCCACTAATGTATGCGACCCCGAAAATCCTTTTAATGTTTCGTTTTCGGGTTTTGATTTCATATAGCCTAACAAACAGTGGATGAAAGTGAAGACCAAGTAACGTTCTTAATGCGTCATATTGATTGCCATGTGAAATATTGGGCTTATACTTCTGGGGAATTCAAAAGAGCAGAAAAAATAACTGACTAGTACTTTCCAGCTTTTGATACCTCATCAGTTGAAACTAGTCCATTATGACAACAGTCTCCTACCTTAACAAGTAATTATGGTATAGGTATACAATAAACTTTACATTTCTTTGGAACAAGAAGATAAACAACAATATAAATCAAAAACTAAAACCGAATAGAATACCTGAGGAAGTAGTGCAACAAGACGAGGAAATTGACCTTTACGTTGAACATATATAGCTATGGCTAATAATTTTCGATGTAAACATCGATTTAATAAAGCGGTAAACCATAAACGACTCCCATGAATTGATTTTTCATCAGGATAAATAAAATGTGCTGGACGAATGTAATAATATCGTTTTAAAAATTTCTGTGATATAAAACCTAATAGGTGTAAACCTAAAAGAAATGAAAATACGAGATGAATAGAAAGAAAATTATTTATAGTTGAAACCTACTTTGCTAGAATAATGGTTTGACAGTTAAAAAAGACACTAGACATTCATAACCACTGAGGTAATTGATTGAAATTAGGCTTCACCAATTTCACTTTAGGCAACTGGATTGTGAAACTGAATAACTCGAGTTCTAATCTCGTATTGATCACCATTTCTCTTCAAGATTACAAGTGCAGATAGCTTTTAGTATAGAAACTAGTATCTCTACTTTGTATTATGTATTTATTGAGTGACTGGTATTGTAGTGAACAAGAACACCAGTGAGGACAATCGAATGTATTTAACACAAAATTACAGGACTTGTTAATGAAATCTAAAAATCATAAAGTAAAGGCTTAATTTGCAAAATGTCCATCAATTGTCTCAAAATGACTCAGACTTCATTGCTCTTGCATTTTCATACTAATTGCATTCTGTTTCCATTCTTTACTATTCGATCCTCTAGTCTCTCTGCTGCCAGACTTTCTGTTCACGACTAACATCATATACTACTTATGTCAATATAAGTAGCATACACCACAGTATATGGAATGCATATATTGTCTTAATTATAAGCTTTTAATCAACGTATTAACTTTTGATACATGCCTTATCGTTAATTAATTATGCGCACACTGTCCAGTTTTTGTATCATGTATGACTCCAAGTTATGTAAAAAAAAATTTTGATTTATTTGAAGTGGACTGAGATCATGTAATTGATGTACATAATCCTATAAGTTTTTAAAGCTGTATAAATGGTAAGCATATAGACTTGCTGTCTTAGTCTTCTGACTAGTTATATGAGGTAAAAAGGGATTGCGTTTAGTCGAAAGGAATCAGGGTATTCAGTCGTTGTGTGTTCTCGGTTGTTATTGATTAAAAAGGTCATTGGTCTAATTAAAGAAACTTGGTCAATAGCTTGACCCACATAGCCAAAATTATCTGTTGAAGAGGAATCAAGATTTATTTGTGATTTATTAAGTGAATGCGGATACCTATCAAAACTTCTGAATATAAGTCTAAAACTAAGTTTGAATTAAAATTACCGACGGTACCAAAAAAGTCTTTATTCATAAAATTGCATTACAAAGGTTATAATGCTAGCAAAATAATAATTCGATGTATAAGAAAAGACGTCAAAAATACACTTAATGCAGCAAGATTATGCTCATTTTTCTTTAACCGGCGAATAGTGAGCTCACAAAATAAAGATAAATTGCCTAGTTCGCCCACCTCTATGTGCAACTACCATTTCAACTGCTGTTGCGGAGCCAATTATATTGGCCAAAATACATCATCGGATTTCTGAATACCACTACTCATGACTGACCAAGAATGATAAAAAAATAATAAAAAGCTTCAGTTTAGGACATTCGATTGATACCAGTCATTATGTCGATTTCAAAACAACTTTTAAAATTTTCTATAGAATCCCCTAGCACTTTTCGTATGCTTACAGAATTAGGCTTTAACCGGGTAGGTGGATATAGAGGATCCACATGCGACAGTCAGAAATCCCTGGCTCCAAACCAATGGTGCATGTGGGTCTCAGAATCTTGAGTGGACAAATGGCGTACGGACCTATCATTGGTGACCGGCTACCATGAGACCACATCTCCTAACAGTGTTCCATTGTCTTGTAGTTTAGACCTCTGGATCAAAGGTTCAAGGAGTGGTCTACTAATCAAACCACCTACTTTGGTTTGGGCACCTGGGCAGCATTCTAGCCCATAGACAGATTCAATAGTCTATGTGGTGCATATATATTTTAATGTCCCTCGATACCAATATTTATGTGTTTATATAAATAAATGAATCTCAGTTATTCCTGATTAATTTCCCAACATCTTGACAATTCCATTACTAATCTACGATTAAGAATAATACACATTTGTACATCTGTGTATCTTTGAATTCTTTTTACCATGTCCTACAAGTCATTAATAAACGTGGCATAAACTGAATGAAACAATCGACAATAAATTTTTTTCAAAAACAAAACAACTCTTTTCCCTGAACCCTTCTATATCTCACATAAACACATATTTTCTTGTTTTACGTCTCAATGAGCGTTTTCCGGTTACATAAATTAGAACATTGAAACTTAATCATATCTGTCAGTTAAACAATAATAATAATAATAATAATAATAATAATAATAATAATAATAATAATAATAATAATAATAATACTCCTTTATAAACACTTTGAACATTTTACTTTATCCTTGTCGAAGACTATTTTTAAGGTTCAATAATGACTATCAAAAACATAGTTTAGTTGTTATCAAGTTACAATCTATATATATGATAGAATTTAATTGGATTAAAATATAAGTTGTTTAAATAATATTCCATTTCTGTTCCATTCCAAAATTGAATATTACCCTTTATTTGTGAATAATAAGAATGAACTGACAATTGAATGTAAACAAAATGTTGTTGTTGTTTTGTTTTTTCATATATACCCACTCTTAAATATGAAATATAGACGTTCCGAAGAAGAGTAATTCATGTTAATGGAACATTCCTATCAGAACAATGAAAAAGTCATTATAAGCAAAGATGGATAGTGTCTAGCAGTGGAATCCAGGACGCGCGTTTCATCCTGTTTGGGACTCGTCAGCTGGATGTACCTGCATCTCAGAGTTGATGTTAACTCTGGGACTCGAACTCAGTACCGTTCGCTCCAAACGCCATCGCGTTATCCACTTAGCTACTGAGTCCTGATAGCCACTTGCGTCCTGGATTCCACTGCTAGCCACTATCCATATTTGTTTATAATGCTTGTAAATTAAGGCAATATCGAGGCATACGCACAGTATGCACATATGCCAATAAGAGACTGATCAATTTCAGTCCTAAAACATCAATGGGAAGATTCAAGTAAAACAATATCAAGTGAACGAAAATGTCAGTTGAAAAAGAGGGGATTTAAGAAAGTACTCCGGTAAATGAGTTTTAAAAAAAAGATTGACTCCTTAGTAAATTAGAAAATTCAGAAGATAACAAGTGAGGAGTCATGAAAGAAACATTTGATATCTAACGACTAGTTTTGTACAAAAACTGAAACTTTATTAAACTCTATGACATGAAATATGAAGTTCATTGTAGTTTTTACAATGAAATGATCATATTGAAAAAAATTTACATGTATAATCCTTTTTACATTATTAATAACTCATTTACACGGCACGAATTTGTGTACATGGGTATGAGCCGCACTCTGAGTGTGAAAGCTAATGAAGCTGTTTGATAGGCTAAACTGAAATAGGATGACAGAGATTTGATCTGGCAACTTAGTGATTGAAGTCAAAAACCTTAAACACCATCGACTCATCGTGATATGGCAAACCACATCCTCAACAGGTTAAATCTGGATAAAGAACACCCTAACTCGAACTTGCAACTAGACTACTTAGTTGATACAGTCAGTCTGGGACGACAAGATCAACGCAGAAGAAGTAATAGCCAGACCCCAAGAAGATCATCAAGAAAACGACATTTTCTTCAGCGCCTTCAGTTGAATCAAAGGAGCAAGACTTATTTTCCAGGAGGGAAAGACGATGTGTCAAGCCAATGAGAAGTAGCCTAATGAGATGGTCAGTCGATGGCAATAAGTAGTGACTTGAAAGAAAAGTGCATTTCATTGACTAAACGCGTAGCACATCGTGTATCAGTACTCGATTTCGGACACTGCCCGTCACACTACACCGCTCTACTTAACTCCTTTTAATAAACTATGAATCATAATCTGAACAGTGAAATGGACACTGGTTATCACCAATGTTATTATGTATGTTATTATGTATAAACATACACCCCACGGGTTTAATTAAGTGCTTAGAGTGAGAAGTAAACCTAATAATATGATTGAATTACTAACTAATAAATGGAAGTGGGATTTAAAGAGAATTTTCAAATTATTACAATGATTTCGTGTAAAGCAAAAGCATTAGTGACCCAAAACAGCATCCCAAATGTAATTGTCGTGAGGTTAACATCAAGGTCAAACGAAATAACATGAAATGAATGATCATTATTCGGCGAATACAATAATTTGGTTTTTCAATATGTTAAAATAGCTGACCGGAACTAACCAGATGATCTTAAAGCTAATGTACAATACAAAATGATCTAGATGAGATAAACTATTGTAAAACAAGGAGGATTGGATAACAGTTTCGTCATAGTATAAGACTCCTTCTCAGTGGTTCACACACACATAAGGTCCAAAAAGATATCGGAATCAGGATTTCTAAGATTCGCGACAAGCTCATTACAATTTAGACGACTGAAATGTGAACCAACAGTTTATATTCCCAGTTTCAGCCAATTTATGATATCGTACAACGGTCATTCAATAACACCGGTGATATATGTTTCACAACCAACATAGTTGAACTCCAAAGACCTTGAATTCATACTATAAATTAGGAAATTATTCCCTTAGTTAATCACTAACACAAACATATTATCACCACCATTAGTATTGGAAGCTTGTGTAAATTATTTAGGCTGAAAATAATTTAAACCCAATACATAAGTCTAAAGGTAATGCTCTTGATATCTGAAAGTTCTATGTCCGACAAGTGTTTAGGCTGCAAGTGTGCACTTTCGATGAGCCCCTCACAATCACTAACATCAAGTAATCTTTGATTTACAACAGTTGTCCAAAGTTAAAATCTGTTAATGATGTAAACTGTCTTCAAAATGAACAATCTGCATAAACTTATCATTTTTAACGATTAGACCATTATTATTCTTATTTTTACAATCCTGGCATAAAAAAGTAAGTAAATTCAATAAACCGCAAGCAAAAAGGAAAGAAATTGACCACTGATATGTATGTGGTGTGGCTCAATATAACCAAAAGCATTGGACAATGACAATCGAATAGTCTGAATGACTGGAAATAATTAATGTGATTGAGAAAGAAAGATTGATAACAAAATTTTCATTGGTCATATTAATAATAAACAAATACAACAAACATGAGTCAGTGTCTGTTCTTAATATCTGGAAAATATGAAGTGTATAAAAGAAGATTGAAACTAATAAAAACTATACTTGTAAGTTAAATTCATGACACATTGATCTCATTGGGCGTATCACTGGAGTCCAGAGAGCATTGGACAGTTATTTCGTCCTACTACGAGGTTTCTCAACAATGTACGCACACAATCCAATTAGAAATCGAACCCAGGACTATCAGATCTTTCAACGAAAACGCAACCAGTAGAACTACTGAGTAGGTGCTCAATCGTACACATTTTCAACTTCAATAAATTTACGAAATAACGTGACGGTTATCTAATGCCATTGGTGACAACTATTTCATGCCCAATATACTTGGACTGCACCAGTCACAGATGCACACGACAACATGAAAAATATCATAGAGTAAGTTACTACTACGAGCTAACTATCATAGTTTATCAGTATAGGGTTGTGAAGACAGTTGAGTTTCATTGAAATAATGAACCGATCTAACTTAAACCATCATTGAAAACCTGGAAGCACTGAACGGCTGTTTCGTTTCAGTACGTGACTTAGCAGTGCACATCCACGACCCTGCAAGCGGAAACCAAACTCAGAACCTTTAGTGCTTCAAGGTTTTGAATATTACCTAAATTAATAACAATTCACGACGAATACAATCTACGAATTGAAAAAAACTTAAAAAAACACATTCGAAAACATTAATATCTCCAAAATAAATTATCAAATTGACAAGAGTATAAACAATAAGATGAATATTGTAATGAACGAGAATACAAGTGGAGACAATCGAATGTATTTCAACACAAAATCACAGAACATTTTAGTAAAATCTGAGAATCACACAGTAAATACTCAATTTGCAAAATGTCAATCAATTGTCTCAGACTTCATTGTTCCTTCATTTCCACAAAAGTCATTCTCTGTTCTCCTTCTCTTTTCTTCCATCTTCTTAACCTTCTGCCTCCAGGCATTTCCCTTCGATTGATGACACATACTACTTATATCTGTCGACATCAGTAGCACACACTACAGTATTGTGTTTATACACTAATGTAGGTTATAACGACAATTGCATACAAATTAAATAGTAATAATAATAAACTGTATGAAACAATACTTACCGACAGGAGCAATATTACGCACAGCTTCAGTTAATTCATCTTTATCAAAGCATATATAACGACCATCAAGTTTTATGCCACGTACTAAATCATGGGATGGTAATAAATCTTTAACTGGATCAAAAGATCCATATGGATCTATAATTTTATAATAATCTCTATGAACACGTACAGTTTTATTATCTGAAGATGAAAGCCATATTGGAGAGGGGATACGTGTTGGATAAACTAAACAATATACTGAAACACCTAAAGTGAGATTTTTCGATGATCCAAGATGAAAAGGTAAACGAGCTAAACGTGATCGACGTAATTCATGTGAGTTAATACTAGAATAAACAAATAGGACAAAAAAATTAATGAAATGATTAGAATACTTTTAGAATAACTCATTCAAAAAGGGATCATTTCATAGATACAAAAAAAACGTTATTGAATAAAAGGTTTCATGGAATATTCTAGATTGTTATGTGCATTTATATATTTTACAAATAAAACAAAATTACTAAAATGTAAATAAATCGAGAAAAATTCCGAAATTTAACCAGTCTATGGTCATTTAATACGCAAAATAGATAGACCTTGTTGATTTTGTTTGTTCAGAAATAACTGATTTCCATATGGAAATTCATGAATAGTGAAGTTTAATTATTTAGAAATGTAGATAGATATCAATGATGAAACTAACTGTAATATCGTGCTACATTATGAACTGACTAAATTCAAGAAATGAAACCACCTGATTCCAATTCATACCTAGAATTGAAAGTTTAAAAAAACGATTATTTTTTTCAGGGTTTTGACTTTTTATCAACAACAAGTATCAAATACTTGAATGGAATAATTATCCAATACTCTGGCTTTTAATGGTTTTCTAAATGACAGAAATAAATGATGAAATCTTTCATCAAACTAAACTAATATCCGGAAACTAAATAAATAATCAACTAAAATCTTAGGATACTTGGTATGTGGTTTGAAGTGGAGTCCAAGATAAGCATTTCTTCCTATTTACAACTAGTCAGATGGATGTACCTGCATCCTAGTATTGATGTTCATATTGATGCTCGGACCCAGTACATTTCATTTAGAATGCGTAACAACGCGTTATCCACTGAGTTACTAAGTCCATATAGTCAGAAAATAGCCCGACAGCTATGAAGATATTAATAAGGGTTTATATTTTCCCGTTGATATGTCTTGTCGATTTTTTCCAAAATCCCCGTCGCCAATTGTTATGTTTTGTTGTTTGAATGCTAACTGTCTTGACTTTTTTTTATCCCATCCCCGTCGCCACTGATATTTCTTGTAATTTTTTTCTAAAATCCCATCCCTCGTCAGTTGAATGCTATTTGTTTTATATGGTCGTCGCTGATTGTTATGTCGGAAACTCTTATCACTTATACTCGAAACGAGGGACCTCTGCAATTCCCACGATGCGAAAGTAAAAACACAAAGACTGGTATAAGTGAAGAATTATTGACCGCAAAACACGGAGACGACGACGATCATAGTCAAAAATAAACTCGTTCATATATTGATTGTACACCCATTTTTCATTAATAATTAGGATGAAATCACATATATGGAAAATACTTAGAGTTATAACAAATAACAGACTGAGCATAGTTCATGTCAATGGAATACAAGAATATCGTATATTATACAGAATAAAATATCATACGAGAAAAGAAAACAAACACTACATTGAGTAATCAGTACATTCAATCCGAACGGAAGTAATCTTGAACAAAACTCATAATGAGTAAATCAATCGAATTTTGACTTTCCATCATATCACCCGTAGTTAATGTTAAGGACTGCAATTAATCAGTCTCTATTGCTATATATATATATATATATATATATATCCTAACCGGATCGACTTGATATTGCTAATAGTTATTTCGAGGTTAAAATAGACATCACCAACTGAACAATCACTAGATATTTCAAAGTACCAAACAGACATTGATCTCGATTAAAAATCTTCTAATCATTACTTCATTCAATGAAAATGAATGTTCAAATTTTTTGTAAGCATGCTGTCATGTCCACCATTTGCTATCAATCCGATAATCAATGCTTATTAGTACTCATGAGTCTGAAGAACAGAAACTGATCTTCGTCAAAACGTTGTATAAATTATAAGGATATAATACCACTATTCAGTAATTAAGTGAATACTTGTATACTTCAATCTTAAGCTATAATTTTGAAGTGATAGCAATTTACTGTTCAAATACTAATTAGTAAAGTAGTATTTTTGAACCAAATCGTTAAAAAAAGAGTGGGGTGTTTATAATTACTGAACTATTATTTCACTCCATCGTCAATAATTTATTTACTACTGTGGTGTGCACTACTTATGCGGATAGACTTAAGTAGTATGTCGCAGGAATTGAAAGTGGGATGCTTACCAACAGGAGATTGAAATAAAGAGAAGTAGAAGGAAACAGAGAGCAATCGGAATAACAACAGAACTAGAAGAATGATGGAGTATGTAAAGGAAATCTCAAGGAAGATATGTAGATGATGTATTTAATATATGATTTTCATATTCTACAAAAGCACTATGCAATTTTGCATGAAATGATAAATTGGCTTTCCCCATCCAGTCTTTTTTCACTACACTACTAGATTACACTTTTTTTTACAGGTTCAGATTTATGAAACCTTTTTTAAATCTAACCTATAATAAAGTACTTATATTGATTACTGATGGCATTATTTATGTTAGTGGTCCTAGTGACTGAATACCAAATCACAAACTCATAATAGTTGAAAAATAATTAAAGACACCTCGGATAACTGTTTCGATATTGAAAATTATTGAAATCTTGTATAGTCAGATCCAATGGTGATCATTCCCTCCCTAACAAAAAAACAAGCAATGACAATTCGTGAATAAATCTACACAGATTTTATGATTCCAATCAGTATTAAACTGAAATATAATAAACAAATGTTTCTATTACCTCTTCCAATACATTTGTTAAAAGAACCTTTAGACAAATCAATAACACAGTCATTGAATGTATCGAAATATCAAATTACCGGCTTAATAATTCATCAAGACGTTCAGTTGGATCAGGATGATAAGAAGATTTGTCTAGATCAGGATACATTAATTCATCTTCTAGTAACTCCTAATAAGAAAGAATATATGGAAAAACTTAATCAATTCATCAACTATATCCGAATATATTTAGGTACGAAGTTGGAATTTATTATTAAATCTACTTATTATGAGAAAGAGTATGAAATCAATCACAGTTATGTTGGGGTATAAATAAAACAAGGATTAAACAATTAAATGTAAAACTGAATATCAAATGATCAATCTGATGAAGTAAAACATTAAAAATTAAACATAAGAGAATTAACAACTTTATGAATAGAATTTGTTGAATAGAAAAGTATATATGGTGGTGATTGAGGGTGGACAGTAGGGAACCCTGAACTTAGGTTTCGTGCTTTTTGACACACATTAGCAAGGTATACTTGTAATAACAGGTGTTCTTTGGAGGAGTTGGTCCCCTGTAATCCAGCTTCACAGTCAGATAAGTTACAAATGATGTGTCTGGGCAAAGACTAACCTCCTGTAGAATCAAGATACATTTACAAGTGATTGATTCTAAACCAGTGTCATGTATCTAAAATCATTCTTAGGGCCGACTGAATTCTATTGATTAAGTTAAAATGTGGCTACTAGCCTTATCGACTTGACAATTTGTGCAAATTACGTTTAAGAATAGATACATCGTAGAATAGAGTGATTGGGACACGACTTACATGCTATACCAAGCTAATGTTATAGATGTTTGAAGATAATTAGTAAGAAACCTTATAGATCTGGATTTTTTTACTTTTTAATGTTCACCAGTCAAATGGGTCCAAAATTTGCAAAGAAGTTAAATTTCATTGGAGACTTGATGCTAACTATGATAATTACGGAAGCAGTGTTGGCTGACTTTTCAAATAATAACAATTGGAGAACCACGTAAGTAAATGTGATAATTATAAATCTATATGTGCATATAATACTTTACAACATGGGATTATTATCGGAACACTAAACAAAGCTTTGAAGAATTTCGTTGACAAGCATTAAAAAGCATTTCTTGGACGTTGGCAACAGAGACTATTTATTCAATCAAAATTAAAAAAATTGAACCAATTCTGAGTCTATAGCCTAATGGTTGAATGAACGTTAGACGAATATACTATCGACTAAAAGTTTATTAAGACTTGCTATTGGTATGAATTAATGTGATTTGATATAATACAAGGTTATCAGTGATTCCCTATTAACTGAAGCAAATTCGTGACGAATACTACTTATATATAAAATGAATCTCCACAAAACCTATATATATTGCATTAGATTGTAAATTATATTTATGGAATGCCGAATCATATATAACTAGACGTTGATACAATAAACTGCACACCAACTTAAAATACGTGGCTTTCTACTTAATCTTGGATTAGTAAACGAATAACAAGGTGAGATCTTTACTGCTTAAATAAATATGTTCGGTCATAGTATACTACACTAACGACATTGAGAAACTTACCAGTCAATAAGGAAAGTCTTCACAGATATAAAACAACTAACAATGAAAACTAGTAAAATAACAGCTTTGATATGAGTAATTAACCCTCATATGCCAAATTATTCCTGATAGTAAGAGAAAAAACTCACATTTACATATTAGAAGTCAAGACAGTATTCTGAGTTAGGTTCAACACCCCATGGAGTTATTATTAGCACATGATATCTGTCATAATTTAAAAAGGTTAAGATAAGGTATTAAGAGTAAGGCTGCAGTTTCGAGTTGAGTTTACAAATTAGGGTTGAGGTTTTCATTACGATCTAGCTCCATTAAACACTCCTGACTACTCATTGAATCACATTAACCACTTTAACACACTATTTGCCTTAGGAGCAGGTATGTTATGTCATTTAATGTAAACAACCAACTTAAATTTATATTTTGCTTGAGTAATAGATATTTCTATTGATTCCGCGAATTTTAAGAATCAATTATTGTCAATTTTCATCTAGTTTACAATAATATACAACTTATCTATCACTACACCTTAAATTCAGCGCACAGTTATCTTAATTCTGATTGGTCGACTCAAGGCCGTCAGTATACTATACTTTTACCACATATATCATTATACACGGTATAATTACTCGATAAATGTGGAGATTTCTTTCTCTTTTTTTAATATACCTAGAAAGTTGAAAAACTCATAGTCTAAGATATTTTCTAAATATATCACCTGACAACTAAATTATAAAATAGCGAAAGAAATCCATTACATCATTCATTAAAATGAAGAAGTTTTAACGATGAAAAATTATTTTATCGACAATGTTATCATTTGCTTAATAAGTTGTATGATCGTATTTACAGTTAATCTCATACATCTTATTGTCTATAATCAAATAAATGAATGTTGGTTGAGTCATTAAACAAAGTTAATCAACTGTTTTTTTTTCAAGTATCAAATATAATAAGTAAAATAGTTGAGATCATGAGTCAATTGAAGCTCAGTGGTCTGGTGGTTAAGCATTCGTGCGCGAGACTGATAGGTTCTGGGTTCAAATCTCGCCAGGCGGGATCATGGATGCGCACTGCTGAGGAGTCTCGCGATTATTATTATTATTACTATTATTATTATCAGCTTTATTCAATATTATATTTTTGGTACAATATACAATTCTCAGCGCAAAGTATTTCAACAAGTTTCCGTTTCTTTCTTCTTGGTCGGTCCTGAAGATAAATACTGAGTGATCGCCAGTTAGATGTTACCAGTTCAGTAAATGAACATCTGAATAATGTGCATTCTTTTCGCTGTATATTGCCAGCAACCACATTGGCTCTTATTGAGTTTTTTGTAACTTTGACAACGAAAGGTTGTACACTTTTCACAAACGCAGCAGAATACATCATGCGATTAATAAACATATTGATATATTAAAACAAACAAAAATAGATAACTTGTTGAAATATCTGGATGGCAGGAACGGGTAGCCCAGATGCTCAAGCAGGCCGCCCTTGTAGGACGAAACGGTCGTCCAATGCTTCCAGGTTTTCCATGGTGGTCTAGCTCCAATTGACTCATGATCTCAACTATTAAAAACTACTATAATATCCACAAAAACCCCTTCTGATAATAAGTAAAAAACAAAAAATAAGACATTATGAAATAAAGTAATGAAAACCTTTCATGTGATTGATTCCCACTGTTAATTTTAATAAAGCCAAAATAAAAATTGAGATACAATGACATGAATTCATCATATATTTCATGCTCCATCATCAGCTCCTTATATTCATATACGTATTAAAGTGTAACATTGAGGTAAGATATAATGTGAAACAATTGGCATTGATGATGGAAAGAATCAGAATAAAGAAGTTTATCAACAATAAATATAATTACATCTATGTATCAACAGGTTTGAGATCATTTGGAAATGGAATTCAAAAAAAAAAACATAGAGGAGGTTGTTGATACAAGTTTAGAGAAGTGAGTGAGTGAAATAAAACAATGAATGAAAGGATGGTTTAGCGTACAATAAAAATTATCCAAGTTTTTCGGGTTAAGTAATAAGAAATAATAATTTATTAAAGAAATGTAAAAGGACAACAGTCAATTTTGATAAAGCAGAAGCTGGGGGATTCGCAAAATCAGAAGGGATGCTAAAATTATGGTAGAATTAAGGGTTAAACATGACAATGTCGTATGTAGAGACCAGGTTCGAATTGATGAATCGAGATAGATTCATTTGGATACAAATTCGTGATCCAAACCTTCATTGAGACAGTCAGTTAATTTTTTGAAATAATCCTGAACGATTACCCTTACGAAAAAACACACACATGAAACGTTTCGGCTCAACGCTTAGGAAATACAACTGTATATATTATATCGTACTATACTTCTATACAAAGAAAGCCCAGAACATAGTTGGATGAAGATCCCAAGTAGGCGGCCTATACCTCACAAGTAGTAACAAATGTAAGTAATTAACTGCCATACAAAGACATCAAGTGGAAGAATAAAAACCAATCAGCCGAGATTTTGAAGATCTGGTCAACTAATTTAATAAAACTACACGTAGAATTCACTGGGACATAAATAATCAAGAATGCAAAACCAATAAAGAAAACATACTTCATTCAGTAAATATGGAGAGTAAATATTAAAATATAATGGAATCCTTTAATTCTATCGATTTTTCACATCAAATTTTCACAGTTTGAATCATGAACTGATCTTCGCTAAACAACCATTGAAAACTTGGAAGCAATGAACAGCTGTTACGTCCTAGTGTAGGACTTCCCAGCAGTGTGAATCCTCTACGTCTAGACTACTGAGCCAACAGCCAATGGTATACACAGTTGGCTTTAATCAATTTATTGATATTGAACGATCATGTTCCATTACCTGCGGTGGGTAACTGCCTTATACCCAACATGCTTGAACTCCATTGATCAAGAATTCTCACTAGAACTCCAGGACTTCCAACTTGAAGATGGTCACTAATGAGCACTTGACTAACTAAAGAAATCATGGATGTGCATTGCTGAGTTTCATACTAAGAGGGAATAGCTATCCAGTCCATTCCTTTTTTTCAATAGTCATCTAACTGAACATGGAACGTAAACTACAAAACAACTATATAAATTAAAGTACAACTACAATACCTTATAAATGATTACTGACTTGTATTAATTAATTAATCCATATAGTATAATGAACTGTATGTTATAGTACATCAAACTAAGCGACATTCATTAACCATTGTGTAGTACATATTGACGATCAAATGATCCATTTATACAAGAAATTATCATGATTATAAAAATAATAAGGAATATAGTAGACACAAAGAAATGTACAAAGACAATTTATCTTTTGTACTTACATCATAAAATAATTCATAATCAAATTTTGTATTTTGTTGTTTAATCGGAATAACTTCAAGTTCAATTCCATATTGTTTCATATCGGCCATCTTAGCAATTGCTCTACGCTATAATTAATGAACAATAATGAAGAAAAAAATGAAATTAATGAGGACCCAATGGGTAAAATGGCTTATTTTAAGCAAAAATGAATTCATATACTATGTTAGTTACAGATTAATCTTAATTACGGTGCTATGGATAAACAGAATTCATTGGACAACTGTTAAGTCTTCAAAATTGTGCAGACGACCCAACCAGGAAATGAATCATAAGACGTTCAGGTTTTGCGATAAACTTTAAACAATTAGAATCGTTGGATCGGTGTCTATTGTGAAACGTTTCCAGTAAAAAGCGAACATCATATAATTTTTCAATGATGACAATGGTTTCATCCTAGACACATCTGAACTCCATTCAAACTTCAGGGACATCGTGAAATAAGTCGATAATGGGCTGACTATCATAGTTTAGTCGGACGGGTGGTTAGTGATTGGAAATGATACTCGAACTGAAATCAGCATGTGACAAATACAATCTACAAAACGGATCGAACGTCATAGAAGCCCTTCAATTATAAATAGACCCAATAATTTTCCTAAGAAAAGGTAAACGCTTAATCTCCTTAAAGAACATAAAGTTGATCTAAAAAACAGTTGGAAATTTTCTGCCTAAAATGAAAAAGTATTTCAATTATATATTTATTCTACGAATAACACTGATTGGTGTAAGAACTGTTTCTATTAATCTCATCAATACAGGCTAAAAGTTCAAAAATGGATAGAGCCACTTGCCGAAACATACACAAGTATTGATTCCAGGTTAGTTGCATTTATTCATAAGGATAAGTTTAGTGTCCACATAGTTTGTAGTATGAAAATAAATCTTAAGATCCTTTTCAACTCGAATGAATTTCGGCTGTCATATCATTGAAAATCAGAGAAGTATCGGACAGCTCTTTCGTGGCGGTGTGATAAAATGAAAACTACGTTTGAAATGCAAAAACCTCCGTAATTAAATAATAGATATATATCCTCACTCGTGACAAACTTTAATATGGTTTGTGATCGAAATTGTCAGCTATGACGAAACATTATTATTTCGAGAGTTGAAAGGCGTAACTAATCAATGATATCAAATGATGACTGTGATACACTAGAAATTAGGTTAGCTTGAAAATACAGACTGAGGGGTTTCTATTCAATGACTTAACACTACTGTAATCTTAAAAATACCAGAATATCATTAGTTTAATCTTGTCTGCCTGCACTACCAGGGCAAAGCTACTAACCAGCATCCCCTATTTTCTAGTACTTTTGAACTGTAGTTAGGTGATTTAAAACCACACAAAATCTCTATCAACCCACCTCACTCAGCGTTTAAGGTTGTATACCAACCTCCGAAAAAAATTTAACACTTAACAATATCCCTGTAATTATAATACATTAAATGATTTATGGGTTTGAAGTATGTGGAACTAGTTCGCACAACTGAAACTTGTACTAAACTGATATTTACAAGCTTTTTCTAAGTATTAACAAATAGAAAAATAATAACTACACACAGTTGAATACACTCAGATTCAAAACATTTTGGGGAATCAATCTACAATTTTGATTGGAGTTATACAGTTGGCTATCTATTCAACAACGTAGAATAAGATGAAACCAATAATTAGGTTAGTAACTCTGAGACTTACAAATAACCAGTTTTAAAGAAGCTAGTCAACATGTTGGCAGAACTTTGCAATAAACTTAAAAGATTACTTTAATTTTGATCACAACTGATGGGTGGAACAAGATCGATTGACCAGTAACGAAACAAAGCGATTAAGTGAAGTTCAGCACATATCACGAAACACTTTACAGTTTCTTTTAAACAAGAAGTTCACGGAAAAAGATGGTTTTTACTTTCAGCTCATCAACAAATCTTAAGCCACTCAATCAATTATTTAGCTACAAGTGACGTAGAACGCGACACATATGTGCACCGGTTCGAGCTCCCATACCAAATAAAGACAATAACATAAAATTACTTCAAGACAAATCACAGAGTCATTACAGTGTCAGTAGTAGTAAAAAAGTTTAGATATAGAAAAAGAAGGTATAAGTAGATTTCAGGACTTATATTCTGAAGAAGGACAAGGAGTGAATACATCTACACCATTGCGAATGATTCTGAGCCATGTCACACAAAGTCTTAAACAACTGGTTACGATAACCCCCCTGACCCCAAACAGGTGGTTTACAGCTATCAACATGGCTCAATTAGATTATTAATAACTTCATAAACACGTTCCACTTCATGATTTAGCCGCTCCTATCTTTCTATCAACCCACTCCTACACCAGAAAACATTTCCCGTCAATGTAGGTGTTATTGACTATGTTACGTTTTATATCTTATACCAAACAATAATCGCCAAAAACGATATTGGGATATTCAAAAGATATGAACAAAGCATGCCTAATGTAAACTCCGCTTATTACAAACCAATTTCTTTTATAACATAAATATTGATTTGACAAATAACGGTGTTGACAATTTAATAACCATGACTGAATAAAGCAAAAAATTACAAAAGGCGTATAACACTGACTTTCAAATTTGCATTTTTATTTACTGGATCAGGATCGTCAGTTAACAAAAAGATGTGTTTGATACCAAATGTCTTTGAACTAAAAAAAGATAAAATTGAATTAAGAAGGTTGCTATATATAATCACGTTATGACAGTCATCATTAATTAGTGTAGGAGACTGGCACAAACAAACATCAACTTAATTGCTGCAACATACACATATACGGTAAGATGAAATTAGCAAGATGAACAAAAAAGGAGTTCAGATAATAGTACAAAGGATGACAAGATGTAAGATTGAACATACGAAGAAATAGTATTGAGAGCTAAAATCTAGGGGAAGATAAATAATGAATAAACGGCCACCAGTTAATCAGTTCATGGGCTAATGCCATATCTTGTTTTAACAACTTTTAACTTTCTTTCAACCTATTTTTAGGCTAGTCAAAAGTGGATCTCAAAGTAGACGATAATCGGGTACATATATGTGTTTCAGTTATCCTACACAATATTCACATCATAATCATTTGATTAATCACCTTTATCCAAACCATACACCTAACCTCGATCAAACTTCCGGCATACTGGTAAATAAACATAAAATTTTAATAACACTGACTCAAGGACTGCTAATCACTTCGTTTCCTTAGAATAAAGGAGACTGACAGTTTCTACAAGATTGCAGATACAGTTTATTGAACACCAAACAGCCGGAAACCTAGGTCGAATGCTTCCTGTAAAATTGCTTTCAACAACATAGCATCGCCAAACAAACCACATCATGATAACAAATCATTAAACGTAGTGGCTATATTGTAATAAGATAGGTAGAATTGGATCAAAATGTGGTGGAGGTTGACAAAAGAAATTTTGAAACTTAAATTGCTGATTGAATTCTCCAGAGGATAACTGCTCAAGATAGAATTCCAACAAACAGTTTACAGATAAATCAAGTGTTCTATTAAACAAAATTTAAATGATAAATTAATGTGACATCTGAGTATTAACAGATATCCATGCTAGTTATTTTAGCCTAATATTTTCACCTAAATGATAAAAGCAGTGGCTGCCAAAATGGACAATTAGACTAACTAATATAGTATAAATTGAGAAGAAATAAAACTTCAAATAAATTCGCTATCGTTCAAAATTTCAAATTCTCCCTGTATCAATCATGTTACACTATTGAACCGTTTGTACTGATCATAGCCAGTCTATTATATGTTTAAAGCAAACACTAGACTACATTAGTCATTATTGTGTAAAGTAAATACGGCAGTCTTAGAGATATAGGCAGTGATTTTAAAAAAATCGACCTTTACAACCGAACTTTAATTCCATTGAAAAGTGAGTAATGTACAAAGCTCACAGAATTCAATGAAATATAGTTATGTTTATTTCTGCATCCGATATTGCTACTTTTATTGGAAGAAAAAATTACTACGGCAACCAGTTGTTTCGTCTTTGAACTGAGTCTATTTGAGAAAAAAATTACGTTAATGACTAAATCTTGTAAATAGCTATCAATTGTTAATAGAGTATCCATGCATAACATTCACTGATCACCATTCTACTCATTAATTTAACAATCCAAAACGTGCATGACCATAACGTAGAAGCGCATTGATGAGGAGTCCCATACTGGGTTGGAACGGCTTTTCAGTGCTTCTAGGTTCTCAATCGTGGTCTAACTTAGATCGAATCACGATTTTAATGAAATTCAACAATCTCCAGAACCCCTTACTGACAACGAAAAATAATCTACGAAACTTACCAGGTGATAAATTGATTTTGACAAACCCACAATGCTTCGTGTAGAGGAAAAGTAATATTAGGTTGATTTGCAATAGTACCATATCGTTTCTCCAATTCATCGGGTTTTAACTGCCTCAACTTTTCAATTTCTAATATACGTGTAGAATCAGCCAAACCTAAAGGCTAAATGAATTATATATATATATATATATATATATATATATATATATATATATATATATATATATATATATATATCATATAGATAGACAGGTATGTATTGCCTTTATACTTCTGAAGTTGAATATAACGTCAAACTCTGATGCAGACAACAATATAATCAAATAAACGTAGGTTTCATTTGAACATCTTTTAGTGATAGATATTCAATAAGGATAACAGATCTTAAAATGCTTTGTAGTAGAACTGTTGAGTGTTCTGATAACATTATTGAAGTATTCACATTATATGGTACCAAGGTTTGTTAAGCCCAATACGTAAAACAGATCTTTATACTTTTTAAACAATGAAACAGATATGAAATTAATCAAACGATAATAGTGAGGCTTATCAACTGAAATATTTATTCAATCTATGTGAAATATTTGAAATTTGTTCCGAATCTATACGTAGTCGTAATGAGTACATTGTTTTAAGCCTTCCTCTTAGTTAAAGTCTAGTGCCTAAAAACTCATCAGGAATAAGTACTTTTTCTGAAATGATTGGTGACTCTCAAATGATACAGATGTCTTATCATACCACAAGGTATTGTGCAACACATGTACTTAGAAAACAAACTTAATAGATTGAATTATCAAAATCGCCTGATGAAGTATATAGAAAATAATCATAAGTTTCTATCTAACTTTATAAAGAAGTTTCACACCATACTGAACATCCTGGATCGAAATTTCCTAACAGTATACAGCTTCTATCTAGGACAACGTTCACGCTTGCTAGTAATTGATAAGATAGTTACCCAGAATTAAATAACGACAGAAACGAGATAATTGTAACGGGAACTATAATGACCGAAATATGCCAACACAACTGAATAATGTTCTATCAGATTACAACATAATCACCAAGAAACTAGGGATATGTAAGTTTATTAATGCAGAAAATATTTGTCATTTCGTAATTTTTCTTTTCGCGCTCTTCAATATAACCATCACGATGTAAATTGACTAATTCCACTTTTCCTGTGAAGCTTATTATATTTGGCGTACAATGTGACCAATCCACCACCGACTGTCCAACCACGAACTTAGTTGACTGAGACTAAAAGCCAATAAAAGCCAGCTTTGTATATATTACAGAATACATGTGATGCTTAACCAGTTAGCTGAACCCCATGGGAAGTTCAAATATTCAATCTAATGACTTAATCTCTCATGTTATAACCAGTAAGCGCTTTAAATAAATGCTAATTTCAGTAGAATAATACTGAAGTTACATAAATCCCGGCAACAACTTAAGCTAGAGAATGATGTTCTTTAGAAAGTACAAATCTAAAAAAACTGCCTGAATTAAGAAAGGTATTCAATATTCGAATGCACAAGTATTGGTTTTTGCCAAGTCAAAAATTCAACTTAAATCGTAGATATTTTCAAACTATAACAAAAGATTATTAACACATAAAGAATGTGGGTTTTTTTCTCAAATTTTCTGACATTTCACTCTTTTTTAACAAGTGGAAATACATTTGCACGATGTATATGACATCTGATACCTGATGTATCTTTTGGCGTGTTTTAAATTATCCAGGACAGGGGTGATAACAATGTGTAAATGCAGTGTTACTATTTTCGGTATATATATGTAAGTATGAGTACTTTGATGTCTAATGTGATTTCTTTTTGATTCACGAATATTTTCAACAGAAATCCAACAAAAACTTTAGCTACTAAAAAAAGCAGTTGATTTGTGAATACTCTAGTAGTTTGTGTTCAGTGGCAAGCTGAATTAATTTAATGTGCCAATGAAAAGCGGTACATTTTTAAGTAACATAGTATAATGGAACTTGAAGAACCCTGTATCACTGAGTTATGACACTCAGTTTTATTATATTGTAGCTCTCAGTAGTTAATAATATTATCATAAAGTTGTCAAGCATCAATTATACTGTTCTATTGATAATGATCGCTGTATATATATTAAATGAAATGGAAATGTACTATTTATTCATCTAATTTAGTCCTTATAGAGATTTAAAAATAGTTTAAACCGGTAATGAAGCATTACTTTATATCTTGATGATGTGAAGTTTGTTTAATCAGTTAACCAATCGTGAACACCATTGAAGTTGGAATACATGAATACTGGTCTTTATTATTATATTTCAACATTAACAGAGAAATGAGAAATTGGACAAAATGGTAATGGAAAAAGTCGAATCAATAAAAACTACAACCAATATACAAAAATAATAAACATGGTGAATATAGTCCGGAAAAAACACAATTAAATCAACGAACAGAAAGTATGAAAAGCATTATTGAAACTCCGGAATTGAGGTAAATAATGAAGTGACTACATTTATATCATTACGACAGCTTTGAAGAGATGCCATCTAAAAATACCAACTACAGATTATGAATACTGCGAATACATGAACTAACACGACTAATATCAGTGACCTCATGAAATGATGGAATTGTGTGGTCTGATACAATCAACCTTCTTACAACTTCATCTTATACGATACAAAGTTTTTATTAGACAGTAATTGCTCAATAAGAGCATTCAAAGTCATATATTTTGTTAGTTCATATTTCACAGGATTCTAAGGATCTATCCAAATTTATTATTTACTTATTTTAACACATAAACATTGGTACAAGGAGGCACCAAATAAAAATCTCCTTTGATATGTGTGAGGCCTGTGATACTACCCGGGTGCTCAAACCGAGGCGGTTAGTTTTCTTAGAGGGTCACACACGGAGCCTTCGACCTGAAGGTCTGATCCACAAGGCAGTGGAGCATCGAAAGGAGATGCAGTCCCATGGTAGCCGGTGACCAACAATTGATTCATATGCCATTTGTTCCCGCAGGATACTGGAGCCCATGTGCACCATTGGTTTGGAATCCGGTTAAAGTGCCAGACATTCGCTTTTCGTCCTCTCATTTTCGTAAACAACACCCGTGATGCGAGAAGGCAGTGAGTAGGACTTCCCTGGCAGAGGCTATATACGCGTGGCCATGTGAGAGCATTTCGAGAGGGAACTCTCCTCACTCTCGACCGTACCAGGGCATTTGGGGGCGATCTATCCAAAAGCCCAAAAACATTCATTATACTAATATATCTCACAAATTGTCACCTGATCAAATGTGACTACATTGTTCGATTGTTATGAAATATATCCAAGTTATTCATAACTAGTCAGAAATGGTTAACTACAGTCGGCAACGATTTCGACAATTTATACTTCCATGTTTATTGGAACATCATTTTAACACAGAGAATGTAATGTATTGCTAATTCGAATGATTTAAACAACGAGGAGAGATATCGGTATAAGGTTGTGGCGAATAATGAATTTTATTGAAATCACGAATCAATGTAAGTTTGGTAATAATTGGAAACCTAAAAGCAATGAACAGTCGTATGGGATTCCCTATAACCGGGAATCAGGCCCAAGACCTACAGTATCCTGACATTTTATCAAGAAGTTGGCATTATGATAAAACAAACTAATTATGTTCATGATCGAAAATATGGAAAATAAAAGATTATGGAGGGAAATGTAAACGATTGTCACCAATCCAAATTAGTATCATACTATTTAATTAATATGGAAAATTAGTTAAGGAGAACTTTTAACTAACCTGTAAAACCATAATATTCTTCATGTCAACAGATGACTCATTCTTTAAAAGAGAGGTAAAAGACAATAATATATAACAGAAATACTTTCTTGCATATGATATTCCTTTCTAATATGAAACTTATCAGAAGTGTACATCAACGAATATAATAAGGATGAAAGCCTAGTATCATCAGAACCCACGACGAGTTCTTGAATTTTGGACTAACGCTTTACCATTCCAACTTCAGTCGATTTGCGCGTTTGCCTAACTATCATCCATTGCCATTGATGATGTTCATCGTACATTCTCACTAAAACTCCTGGAATTAACACTTGAGGTTAATCACTAGTAAACACATGATGGTTGCTTTTATAGATAATTGCGGAAATTCTTAGATTCGAAATTTTACATTACAGATTGAACCTAATTAAAAACCAGGAAGCACTGGACAGTTGTTTCGTCCTGTTGAAGGACTCCGTAGCAGTACACATTCATGACTTCACACCAGTCATTGGAGCCAAGACCTTAAAATCTCGAGGTGAATACTTAATCGCTAAGATCATACAGTTTATATGTCGCCTATCTATTTAAAATGATGAGATACTTCTTAAACATAAAATAAACTGACAATTTATCTAAAGAGGTATATTTAATTGAAATTTGTATACATCAACATCAGTGGGTGATATGAAACAAAACAATTTCATTAAGAAGTGATGTCAGATGGTGTACTATTGAAAATTAAGAAGTACTTTAGATAAACCTTGTCATGTAAGGAGACAAACCAATGAAAAGAAAAAAAAATTAAAATATTTCGATTAAATAAGATAGTACAACTAAACGTTAGTAACAATAAGGCTTACTGTACGCATTAAAACAAGCCCGATCATATCAAAAGGACTATGAAGTGCTTTATTCTGTTGAAATGTTTGACAACATAACAAACTTAAATCAAATCCACTTTTTACTGATGATGTATTACTACTATTTAAATCGAATGAACCATGTAATCCAAGCATTGTCGGCGTACAATCAATTAAAAATATTACACCAGAACGCATGTCTTGTAGCTAGATAAAAATAAAAAGGAGAACAATTTGCAATTTAAAGTCTATACAGATAACAAACAGACTATTATTTAATGTTGTATGATTAGGGACCAAATAGTTAAAAACCAATCAATAATCCACGTTTGTAAGCACCTAACAGGAAAGATGTATTCAGGGAATAACTTATTTCTTGGAAAAAAGCCTAGGTACTTAGCTTTCAGCTAAACTGTTCGAGTAAGTAACAATGATGATATTAGCGCAAAAGGGTTTGTAGAAATTGGTTAATTTCGTAGTTTACATCACGAGCTGGTTTAGTTGAACAACCATTGAGAACCTAGAATCATTGGACAGCTGTTTTGTCCTAGTATTGAATTTCCCAACATTAGTATTCATGGGCCCTATCAGGAATAGAATCCAGGACCTTTAAATCTCGCCATGAACACTAGCACGACAACCAACGACTAACATTTCTAAATTTGATCATTTCATGGCGCTGTACAACCACCTTCCGAAGCAGCTAAGTAGTCCTATATTAGGACGAAGAAACTGTGCGGTGTTTCGTGGCTTTCAACAGTTGTCTAAGGTCAGTCTATGGTGTAATCTAGAAAAATAGTGATACAACCTGGGTGCTACTACAAACATGAGTGAAACAGAATCCGAACCCTATTCCCTACCAATCGAAGGCCAAATACTTGAATCACTGAGCCACTATTTTACAAGAGGCATCTAAATCCGCAAAAGGGAAAATTAATTCACATGATGAATTTTTAACAAAACATTAGTACAACACATTCTGTTGATAGTCTAATATGAGTGTCCAAATTTTGGGGCCTCACCCAGTTGTGCTGACATACTTAGAAACTCATTATCAAAGTAAAGTCACCGCTGTAGTTTTGATAACATGAAACTCATTAATTTATTGGAAGGTCAGGGATAGTCAACGGAAAACCCTGGACATAGACTTCGTCCTAGATGACACGCTACAGCCACGGGTACCTGTAATCTTTATAGGACTGATTCTTTCACAAGTCAACTGAGGCTAGTTAATCTAGATATGGATTCTAACATTTACAAGCGACAATATGTTATATAGCCGTTCAACAAATGATATCTATCGTAATTCTTTAGCTGAGTGGGTACAGTTGGAAATCCGATCAATGTTAGGTTTGAGTTTTGACAAGAACATCCTACACCAGGATTCAAATACATTGGGCCCGATTGCTCTGGTACGACTGGGAGTGGGGTGAGTCAGCTCTCACTCTCCAAATGCTCTCACATGGCCACGTGCATACAATCACTGCAACAGAAGTCCTACCCACTGCCTTCTTGAGGCATTACTGTTGTTTAAGAAATTAAGAGGACGAAAAGTGAATGTCCGGAGCATTAACGGGGTTGGTGGGTATGGAGGATCCACATAGGGGAGTCGGAAAATCCTGATTCCAAACCAATGGTGCACATGGGTTCCAGGATCCTGAAGAAACAAATAGCGTATGAACCAATTATTGATCACCGGCTACCATGGGACCACATCACCTAAAGTTGCTCCACTGCCTTGTGGAGTAGACCTTCAGGTCAAAGGCTCTGGGTGTGACCCTTAAGAAAACCACGTGCTTCGGTTTAGGCACCCGGGTAGTATCTCAGCCGTCACACAAATCATTTGATTTATGTGGCGCATATGTATTTGGTGCCTCCTTGTACCAATGTTTATGTGTTTAAATAATAAATAATAATGTAAATGCATTCATATAACAAGCCGCAAATAGAACAATGTTCTTGTCCTGAATATCACTCTGTTAGCTACTTCCCAAAATACAACCATACCTGTCCATTTAAACTGACTCTTTTAATCATAAATCATACCTTATAATAGATTATGATGAATCAATATTCAAGAATCTTGAACCAAGTACCCTATGGTGGAATTTACAAACATTTCTTCATTTAAATATTATTTTATTTAATGTTCCTCAAATATATGAACAAGTATAAGGAAATAATAAAAATAAATTTATATCTCACAGGTTTACTATTCTGTTCTTGTTCATTATCTTCATTGTCCAGAAACTCTCCAAAATAATTGTCAATACTGGTCATATTAATACTAAAATAAGACAATCAGGATTTTAATAATTTTATGTAAGGTGATGAGTTCATTTATATCAAAAAAGCGGAAAAAATATGATTGTGGCTACTAATAGAATTCAAGAGGCACATTTTTAACAATTTGTAACTTAACAACTGAATCTATTCATATAGAGTATTAAACACACCAACTCATTCTTCAGCAGATGATAAGTCAAGACAGGTGAACGTTAAGATAGATTGTTAAGAAATAAGTGGCTAAGATATAAATCAGTAATTAAGATTGTTGGTCGAAGTAGGAATTTTTCTACTTTATACTTTGATTTATACTGCTATGACATTAGAACAATCTTAGTGCACAATTTATTCTGCCGTGACCATAAAATATTCTTTATTGTAATTTCACATAAATTAGAAATGTATGTGAAGAATCATATTTCTCGCTATGCAATGATACTTAGTAATCACAGGTCACGTGCTATCGTCTAAAGTTTCCAGGACTCGGACTAATGAACTAGGTCATGTCAATGACTTAATTGTTGTCTAGATTGAGATATTTTGCGGACCGCAAAGTAAGAGTGATAATTTTCGCAGATTCTAGATGCATAGCATTTTGACATTGTCTTCTGAACCTTTTAAAATACATTTTCAAATCTTCTCGTTCTAAACACTGTGTTGTGGTTTTCAACACAGAATATTAAACTACTGTTTTACTTTTCACCGAATAACACGATAGAAAAGCTCCTCTAAATGTATGAACTAAATGGGTGGATGTGATTGACATTAAACCTCGGATCTAAATATCATGCTAGTTGACGCTCATCATTAAAACATATCAACAGTCTTCGGGAAAATGCACTTCCCTATGTCATTCAAACCAATTTGGCCGCAGCTGCTGAGTTGACTTGAAGGTCGACCTTGCGTATAGTAATGATCCAACCGAGCAGTGTTGGGTAGAAGATTGGTTGCTTTAGACTCAACCATTCTAAGCAGGTCGTTTGAGGAACGGAAAGACTAAATACAAGAAAGTAATGATCCAAGAACGGAATTGTACTGTTGACTGTACAGAGGTGTAACGCCTAAAAACTAGCATCTGCAGCGGTGCTACTTTCCCACAACGAAAGGGGGGTAAAGGCTGTCGACTCTGAAAGTACCACACCTCAACTTTATCCCACAGATTCCTGTCACCGATGGCAATGCCTTTAAAGTATGAAGCCATCTTATCTAAAAATAATTACTAAAAAGTCCTAAGTAGTCATCTCTTGGGTTCTGCAGTCCCAGTCTTAGATTGCTAGGACCACTACTAATCCAGTTTACTTTGCAGGGAACCCAAGAACTGTCCTTCTATGGCGTGGGTGACCAGGAAGTGATAACCGCCTACGCGCTACTAATAACACTAGAGATCATCTCACTCGAGATTCAAACCCATTAACATCCAGCACTAAAGTACATCACCACTAAGCTATTCAAGATACATACGTGTGCACAGATGTATACAAAAATAATTTTAAAAATGTACATTCACAAAAAACGAAATCACATGAAGTTAATTATTTACTTATTTATTTCGAAGTGAAAAAAATGAACAGAAAAGAGAACAAAGAATTATGCTTTTTCACAAGTTTTATAAGTGTTTTAAAAACCAATTTACGCAATTCACAAAAACATCTAATGAACATGCTGGTGAATCCAACGGATGTGAATCATATGGATAGAGCAATGTTTCACATGGTACAGTTGGACATAAGGCTTTCAACTTTCGACAGAATGTTAATCCCTAAAATTAAAATAAACAAGTAAATAATAAGACAGAAAATATCATTGTGATAAAGATGTATCGAGTGATGACAATTTACAATAAAAGAGATAACTATTAAACAATCTCTTTTTAGTATAAGGGGATTTGTAGAGATTATAAAACTTCAATAGGTTAAATCACGAACTAATTCAAATTAGACAACTGGAAACCCGGAAGCGCTGAACGCCCGTTTCGTTCTAGCACGAGACTTCTCGTTAGTGCCTGTTCACGATCGCATTTGGAGGACTCAAACCTAGGATCTTTAAACTCGAGCGCGAACGCTTAACATATAGACCACTGATCGTGCATCCAATGGTGCTAATATCTAACCTGAATCAACCCATAAAAATGAGCGACCATCTTCCATTGTCTCCAGTGGGTAACTGCCTCATAATCGATATGGTTGGACTTCACTGGTCAAAGCTTCTCACTAAAGCTCCAGGAGTCGTATCTTGCATTTAATCACTAGTGAACAAATAATCATCAATAATATAGGGGGGTTTGTGGAAACTGTAGGATTTCTAAAGTTCCAATCACGAAATCATCTTAGCTAGATCAACATTGAAAGCCTGGAAGCACTGGGTTGTGGATACTTCGTAAATATTATAACTTGCAATTTAAAACTACTAACCTGACTATTTGGTACACGACGATCTTTCCCACCTAACAGCATTAACAAAGGTACAGACCATGTTTTATCTAAATATTTCAAAGGAGATTGATTTGACAAACGCATTAATTCATTGTCATTCGGTAAATGACCAAGAGGCCATTCACACCAATCTGCTAAACCTGATTCAGTATAACACCAATCCGGTATATCAGATGTATCAATAAGACTGACTAAATGAGCCACTGGATTACGAGCTGTAGCTACATGATATAAATTTTTATATCGTGAGGCTAAATGTAACGTTAAGAAGCCTCCATGTGAACCACCAAATAAAACTGCTTTCAAGTTGGACCCAAATTTCTGCAAATAATTCAATGCAAATTTAGTAGCCTAAAAAGAGGGATGCGAGAAAAGAGAGAAGAGGGGATATGAAGTAAAAAAAAATGAAAAGACTACACTACAAGAACGGTGAATAGATTATTTTAACATTACAATTGATCAATAAAATAATGAATCAACTGATAATAGGCTGAACAGAATAAACAGATAAAGACTATAGGTGATCTACTAGATCATAAGTAAGAATGAAATTCACCAGGACAACAAGAAAAGCTTATACTGTTGACTATTTATTACACAAGACAAATTAAAACAGGAACAACTTGTGAGATTTGTGTAATATAACTGTGTTACTCATAAGTAACTATATTTTCAACATACAATTTTTTGTCTGAATTTCATTGGTTAATTACAAACTGTTCTCTGATTGCTCGATACATTTTTATATGTCCAAACATAAAACTGAACATCTGTGCACAGAGTGAAAAGATATTGTTGCCGACTTTGGTGGAGTTCCCTTCTCTGAGCTGGGAACTCTACCAAAATCATCCACCTGAGCTACGAATCTCCACCATCCCAATTATTGCTGAGGTTGCCACCTTGCAGGCGAGTTTTTCTCAACATAAGCTAACTATTATTATAGTATTATTATGATCTCATAGTATTATAGAAACCATTACTATTTATTGTTAATAAATAGGCATTTATGTAGAGATAGGTATATGTAAGTAGGTATGTATATAGGTGCAAAAGTAGAATGAGAAAAAGTAATTAAGGACATACGATATGAATGCTATTAATTTATCGCAATAATTAAACACTGATATAACAGGATAAAAAGATAAAATTATTGAGGTCAATATATTTTGGGCCAATTCGTTGTGAATTTCGACCACAGTGACAGGCATGAGCTTCATTCAGGTGTGATGCTTTAAGGTCAATATCTTCTTCGTTCAATATGATAAGTGTGAACTTTCGTTTAGTCTGACAAATATATTCCCTGTATCAGCTCTTAATTACTTACTTACTTACTTACTTACGCCTGCTACCCTTTGTGAAGCATAAGCCGCTCACCAGCATTCTCTATCCTACTATGTCCTGGATAAGCCTTTCCAGTTTTTCCTGATAGTTATCCATTTTTTCGATGTCTGGCTCCAATTCCCGATGCAATGAGCTCTATAGTCTGCCTATTACCTTTTGCATTCAGGATTCAGTCATGGCTTGCCTCGTGATGCAGTTTGACGATTTCCTCAATGTGTGTCCAATCCACTTCCAACGATTTTACCTAATTTCCTTTTCACATAGAAGCTGGTTTAATTTCTCTCACAGTAGGCTGTTACTAATGGCATCCGATCAACGGACATTGAGTATTTTGCATAGACAATTGTTTAGAAATACTTGTGACTTTTCGATTATGGTTGTGGTAGTTCTCCACTACGTTAACTCCGTACAGTAGAACTGTTTTGACGTTAGTATTGAAGATTGTGACTTTGATATTGATTGACAGTTGTTTTGAGTTCCGTATGTTCTTCAACTGTAGGAATACTGTTCTTGCTTTGCCAATCCTCGCCTTTGCGTCTGCATCAGATCCTCCACATTCATCGATGATGCTACCCAGATAAATGAAAATTTCCATCTCTTCCAGAGTTTCTCCATCAAGTGTGATTAAGTTGGTGTTCTCTGTGTTGTATTTGAGGATTTTGCTTTTTCCCTTGTGCATGTTGAGGCCTTCGATCGTTGGTGGAGTGACAGCCATTGGAAGGTCTGTGGATGCCGCTTCGATGGCCAGTGAATTCAATGATGCTGATCTAATCAAGAGTTCCTCAAAGTGTTATACCCATCTTTTCTTCCATCCTCAAATCTCAGTGATTGAATAGCCTTCTTGGTCCTTCACCGATCTCTCTGATTTACTACATTTCCTTTCCAGTTTCTTCGTTGTGTCATGTAGTTGTTTGTTATTCCCTTCTCTCGTAGCTTTTTTCGCTGTCGTTGCTACCTCTTCCACGTATTTCTGCTTGCCGGCTATAATACTCCTGTACGCTCTCTTATTTGTTTCTGTGTATTCGGCCTGTGCCTTGACTTTCTCTATTCTTGTTAGGCTGTTGTTAATTGCTGTCTTATCGTCTTTCTTTAATCGAATCCTCCTCACGGTCTCGATAGTGATCCATTCCTTATGATCATGCTTCTCGAAGCCCAGAACCTCTTGGAATACTGAATTCAGTGCTTGTTTGACCACTTCACAGTTGGTTTCCATAGTAATTTCCTCTTCTTTGAATAGATCTTATAAGGCTTGGAATGTGCTGTTGACAACTATCTTCAATTCCATACACATAGTTCCCTTTATTATCTTAAAGAGAGCAAGAACAAAGATTGGTGCAGAATAACATGAATTCATTTTATTTCGTTAGGTTCTCATCAGCTGCTTACAACCTAAAATATATTTGAAATTCAACATTATTACAGATATTGACCTATTTATACATGAGTGTGATTAAGGATTAATACATGTGTATCATGATGTAGCGAAGATTCAGATAGAGTTAATGAGCTCATAAAATATTTGATTCGAATAAATAAATAAAGTTTGAGAGGGAAAGTTCCAGAACATTGAAATAGTGATTAGAACTCATGAAAACAGATTAATGGTAATAAAGAAAATATGAATTGAAATCAATCATTTATGTATGATGTAAATTAAGAGTTGGAGTAATGACTCAATAAATAAATAGAGAAATAAATGAATAAAAGGGGTTATTGTTACCAGGGTAAAGAAAGATTTATTACTGTCTCTTTTTGTATACATAGATCTGGTTTTAAACGTTTGATTGCTATTGCTTCAGTGAATTTCAAAAGGTTGGAGTTCGATTGTTTGTTAATCACCTTGAAGCACCTCAGTATATCAACTTCATGTCCTGTATCAAGATGTCTTGCGATGGCACTGTTGAATGCGTTCAATCCATTTAATCTTAAACTTTTCGGAATATGTTCTTTGAATCGGACGTAGGCTCTCCTTTCTGTTCTACCAATGTAACTGCTTTGGCAGATACATGTAAATTTGTATACACAGTTGGTGGTAACATGAAAGGGATACCTGTCGACCTTTGATTGTGTCAAAGAACATGTTGTTTTGAACAGGACAACCAATTTCGCTGCAGGATAAGTTCTTGCCAGTGCAGTTTTTAGTCTCATATTGATTGATCCTGTGACATCGTCACCTTTGAATTGAAGTTGAATAAAAATAGGCTTTTTATTTACTGTAATATTTACGGATTCAAATATGATCGATCCGTTTCTGTGTAGTGTGATCCGGTGAGACCCATGTAGCTTTGTTCATGTGTTTGTGGAGGAATATTTTGCCACCTATAACCATTCTGTTGAATGCACATAAATTTGCAAATCTCTCTTCATTCTCATCCGTTTCTCTTAGTCAGTTCATGTCGTCCCATGATATCTTCATAACCGTTGTTGTCCATTCTGACTTTGGCGCTTAAGTCTGCCATCAGGATGGTCAGGTTCTTTCCTGTGTACTTCACTATAGCCGATTGCAGCTCAAGCTTGGAACCGGCAGTAACCCCAGTAGAGCTACAGGCGGAGTGAACAGCTCAGGTGAACTATATTTAGTAACTTGATGTATTTATCCCTGTTTGACATTATTGTGTACAAAAATTAGTGCATAAATGGTTATATTTTGATTTCACAGAGACGTGATTTTTAAACTCTTTTGGGGACGCGTTTATGTAGAGCCAATTTGTCTACACTTCACTAGTTTTTCATGTTCTTACTTTTCGTCGCCCTTTCCGAATGTCAAGTAAAAGCAATCAGACGGTAAACATTAACAAGGGCGAAATCTCAGGACATAACAATAACAAACATTAGCAGATGGAAAATTCGATAAATGCTACAGTTTTGGATTTGATATCACTTTTGTGTAACTGTCAGAAAAGAAACTTGGGACAGACAATCGGGAAACAGTCAGGATCGCTTAGATATCATTTCGATATCACAGAGAATGTTTCAGATATAATTTGTACACAGAGAGGAATTGTCGTCGTTCAAACACTGATTGTGTGACACAAAGTCCGTCTTTCGAATAATATATATGAGACAATAACGTCACAAATCCTATGTAAATTGTTCCAGAAAATCGTTGAGTTGGTTTATTTTATGAGTGAAAATAGAGAAACAAATTGAAAAATCGCTTACTTGAACACAATCGGACACATCTTTTTCACCGATATATCCGATTAAATCTTGGACAAACGCATTGCCATAACCAAGTGATCCACGATAATTAATTAATAAACAAGCAAAGCCTACCGAACAAAATCCAGCGATCATCGAAGACCAAGAAGCACTTGAATGTGCATGTGGACCACCATGAGGCATGACAATTAAACCACGAAGTCTACATGTTACAATTTCTGTTAGATCTTTTGCAAATGTGAAATCGGATACTGAAAAACAGCATTAAACAGTGTGAAATTTCATTCATCTTCGGATCAATGATGAATTGTACATTATAGTTAGACCAATCTACGTATTTAAAGTTTTAAGAACATAAGTAAAACGAGGCAATCAAATTAGAACTCGAATAAATAAAATGAAATGGATTTATATTAATTTATTTTCTTCATTAGCTGCTTATTTTGTATGTTACGTCATCTTATTTAAATAACACTCAGTAGATTGAGCTAGGCTTAAACATTTAATTAACTTGTATGCTTTAACGCATAGTTTTTGTTAGCTCCACTGAACCATCGAATGTATACATTTCAATATTTCAGTCTATTTTTAACAGAAATTCTTTCTTTTCTAACCACTGTTTTTCTTATGTGTGACAATTTTTGACATTTTGTCCAGTTTGAAAAGCTTGTTTGATCAGAAAAAATATTTGGCCCCTAAATGCCCTGGTACAGCCGAGAGTGGAGAAAGTCCGCTCTCCCTCTCGAAATGCTCTCACATGGCCACGCGTATATAGCCTCTGCCAAGGAATCCCTACTCACTGCCTTCTCGCATCACGGGTGTTGTTTACGAAATTGAGAGGTCGAAAAGCGAATGTCCGGCGTTTTAACCGGGTTGGTGGACATGGAGAGTCCACCTAAGGGAGTTGGAAAACTCTGATTCCAAGCCAATGGTGCACATGGGCTCTAGTATCCTGAAGGAACAAATGGCGTATGAACCAACCTTTTTGGTGGTGTTTTGTTCTCTGAGCTGGATGGTTTGGTCGTGGAGCTTTCATCGTTCTTCTGAACGACAACATCAGCACAAACTTCAGATAGAAGTGAAGTGTTCGAATTTCTCCATATGTGTTTCACAGCTTGTTCTGTGCACCTCGATGTTGATTGGTTCTTGTTGACCTTAAATTTATCATTGTTTACTTCTTTGTTTTGGTTGTGTCTCCCATTGGTTTGATTTTTGTTCCTATATTTATGCATGATTTTCCTGATTGGTTGATAAATTGGATTGATTTCAATATGTTTGTTGATTGCTGATTGACCTGAGTGCCAAGCTTCCAACCGTTGGTCACCGGTTACCATGGGAATGCATCTCCTTATGTCGCTCCACTGCCTTGTGGATCAGACCTTCAGGTCGAAGGCTCCGGGTGTGGCCCCCTAAGAAAACCACCTGCTTCGGTTTGGGCACCCGGGCAGTATCTCAGCCCTCACACATATCAAATGAGATCTGTGTGGCGCATATGTATTTTGTGCCTCGTTGTACCAATATCACAAACCACAGGATATAAGTTATTTTTGCTAATCTCTGACATTCAAGTATGACACAACTATACGGTATTATTCAAGTGATGAACTTCTATAACTTTTCTTTTGATAGAATACTCAATATCTAGACAGTATACAAATGAGAGTTAATATATAAACTATTTCATACTGTCAAAAATAATCATAATTAAGTTAATAAATCTTACCATCTATTTGTTGAATTGAACCATCATCTTGAAGTATGGGATGAACTAGTAAACATTCAAATGAATTTATTTGGTTATCTGATTTATTTTCCAGTTCTATTTGATGAATTGACCAATCAATACCTTTCAATGAACGTAAATGATTTTGTTTTAAATCAATCCCATCAGAAATGATTAACCATCTAGGAAATTAAAATTTGAGTAAGATATACAAATGAATTGGTTATAAATGCATCATACATGCGAATTCTTAAGTTTAGTTTGTTTTTTAAAGTGGTTAAAATCCAAGTTTAGTGTTTTCCAAAGGACCATTTTTGTCAATTTACTAATGTATATATAATTATCAGTATAGGGGTTGTGGAGATTATTAAGTTTTTGATTGAAATCATGAACCGATTGATGTTAGACCACCTTTAAAAACACTAATAGACAAGATCTCAAATGATATATGTAATGCGAATGAATAATTCGTACAATGATATTTAAAATGGAGTTGAAAAGTTTATCATATCAATCTATACAAATCTAACTGTAAATAAATTATATAAAAATTAATGTACTCAGGTATTAATTTGATCTATTTTTAAATGGCAAATAAATCCTCATCTATCCGTTTTCGTTTCCCTACTTCCGTCATCCAATTCACGATTATATACAGTAACTGAGACACATCCTAAAATAAAATAAAACCTAAAAGTTGATTCAACGGACGATCAGTCGGAACACAAATGTTGAATATCTAAGCTATTGAATTGTAACGCTATAAATTTCAATGTATTTGCATTAAAAAAAAGAGAAAACTAGTGTAGATATACTTTATTCAATGGTAATAAATAAATCAACACAGTAAACTGTAAGTCGTATATATATATCATATGACTACTAAGATTACATGATCCTGATGTTAAATTTAGATGAGTGACCAACAGTTCAAACCAGTTTATCTCTGTGAGATACAACCACATGTATAATACAACAGATATATAATAACTCAACTGATATGGTCCTATTAATCGACACTTGACGCAAAATTATATCTCCATTCTAAACCATTCATAATTAACTAAGACCGTAAAACAAATATATGTTAACCGGAGTTGTTATATCCCATTACCAGGACGAGATGAAATTAACAAGATCAATAGCAAACGAACTGAAATAATGTAGTAGCATTGACAGTGAGAAGAATTGAATATTGAGTACGCATTTTGAAAAGACCGAATTAAAAGGTATGTATAAAGGTATACTAGAATTCAAGGTCGAGAGAAAGATAGAGTGAATGCATCTGAGCCATGTCACTCAAAGTCTCTAACGATTGGTTAAGATAATTTTGCAGACCTCAGCAGGTGATCTGCATGAATTAACAGTCAATGATTTCATGGAATAATATATCTTGGTTTAAGCTCCCATAGCATTCTTCCAGCCTACTTCGATACTAGCAAATATTGTCTGTCGAGGTAAGCAGTGGTTAAAAATATGCTGCACATATCCTTAACACCTCAGTTAATAAAGATTCATAACCTCACCCTAAGATTTAAAGCAGTAATTTGAAACTGTTAGTACATACATACAATAAATCAGAGTATGTAGCACTTACGGACGCTGATTAAGATCAGAAGACAAATTAGCATAATTCAGATACTTTAAATTTAATACAGCTATATGCTGTGGATGAATTGGAGAACTGACAGAGACCACTAGAACATCATCGTAAACATCTAAAATTGATAATGATGATGACAACGTAGTTCCATCTGATGATAAATACAACTTAGGCAGTTTATATACAACTGGTCTTGATTGGGCAATGGATTCAGTCACTGAAATAAGAAGTCCAACAACCTCGAATCCCCAACATGATGAGACTAATACATATTGTCCATCACTAGACCAACAACGATCTGCTAATTTACAATACAGTCCTAAAAATATAATACGACAGAATAATACAAGAATTCAGTTATGCGAACAGCCATTCACTCAAATGTATTGTCTATTGATCTTTCACTCTAACAACTGAAAATTTTTCACCAAATAACGATACCATACTCCATAAAATATAAAGATAAGTAAAGAACACAATGAAGCATGCAGCTATCAATTAATAATTTATAGAGAAGATTCATGAGCTTCGATTCCCATACATGACTTTCAGCTAAAGTACTTTGTGTGTGAAACCGAACGATGCCATTGCCAAGTTGCTTCAACCCAAGTATAAATGAACCATAGTTTGAACTGGGAGTGCATTCAGCGTTCAATAGTCAATTGATTCAATCACTAAGTCACCATTTCATTAAGTTATTACAGTTGATGTTGAATAATTTGAAACAATCAACAAGAAGCCCTATATCTAAATCCTGTACTTATTCACAATTTATCAATGTAAGCAAATGTAAGGATCAAGATTCGAGTAACATAAAGCTGGAGTCAAATACATTATTATTACTAACATTATTATTATCGAGCTATAAACTCATGTAATGGCTTAATTTATTAGGGAACAAATCAGCCACACTATTCAACTATTCAATACTGATCTAGTAATATACTGGTCTAACCGTCGATCTTAACTGAATTCTGTCAATCAAATTTGCAATATGACAAAGTGGATTTTTTCCATTGCCCCCCCCCAGTTGATATGGGCCTAAATGTTAATAGTATAAACTGCCTGCTACCAAGTAATAATTTTATTTAAATTTCGAAACTTCTCAGTAATACATATATCCATGATCCTACGGGAAAAACTGAACTTAAACCATTGAGGTTCGGCCGACAATGTGTTAGGATTCGAATTAGCAATACAATTACTATAACAATAATTAACCAACCAGTTTGTAGACTAAAATCGTACAGGAATGCATTATAATGAAAAAATAAAATTTCATAGATCCTATCCTAGGCTGGAGGAAACTAGATGTTAGATAATAGATCAGCAGTACTAACACTGGACTACGCACTACATAACGAACATACTCAATTAACGGACAAGCGATTAAGAACTGGATATAGACTGGAACAAGGACTTATTAACACAACACACAGCATCTAAAAAGTGATGTCAAAGTGGAATCGATTTTACATGTAAAATAATCTCTTAAATTTAGTGTAACTGGATGTGCATGCCTTTTCATACTGACTAACCATGACTTACTTTCACCTAACATGTCAGAATAAAAACCAGTACCAAGTTTGTTAGATAAATAAATTTATGGTAGCCAAATAACTATTGAAAAGCCAGAAGGTGCTATACAACCATTTCGTCTTAGTAAGAGATTCCTCAGCAGTGTTCATTCACGACTCAGCTTAGAATCAAAACCAGAACTTTCAAGTTTCGCGCTGAGGTCAGTCAGTGAGGTAAACTACAAAACTTCACAATCTTTACAAACCCCCTATACTAAAACTAAAATTTCATTCAATAACCTGAAATTACAGATTTTTTATTACAAGATGAAATTAGTGCTAACAATTTCAAAACAACGTAAATTGCCCATCCTCAAATTCGCTATTAATCGGTATGGTATTGAGGAATAATTCAGTTTGGCTGAAGTAAACAACCCGAAAGTGCTTTTGTAATAAAAAGTAATAACTGTTCAACAAAAATGGTAGTATTTAATCCACTATTCATCTCCCTTCACATCTTGAGTCACCAGATCTCAGATTTCGTTTTCTTTTTTCGATACCTAGTCTTCTCTACTACTAGTGATACTGTTACCACTTCTACTGATCTGGGATTTGTCTTGATCATTTTATCTTGCTGTGCTAATGTAGTGCAGCAACTTGAACCGATGCACATATCTGCCAAGTTCTACTTTGACTGACCAAGTTGCTATTTATCATACCCTAAATAACCAGATAATTAAGTAGTAATCTGCTGTCTTAAATGATGAATGACAAATTTGAGTAACAGTATGTACACCACGGCAACTGGAATACAGGTACACTTAACTAACGAAATCCAAATGAGACAGAATAAATATCAAATATAACCTTGGAGTTTAAACGAAGTCAATCAAATAGAACACTGATTTTCAGTCAGACAATCTTTCATAAATATAGATTAGTTATCGTGCTAATTACACGTATAATCTAAAATTACTTTAAGCTTACAAAGAACAAGAATAATAATGAGTCACTCTGTTACTCAAAATCATTTATGGAGTAAATAGTTTCATCCATACGAAAAGAAGTTATACAATTACGATCATGATGTAACACTTTAATCCAATGCAAACTCTTGCCATAAAATGTCAGTTACATCAAACTTTAGTATCGGAACAAATGATAGGTAAACTGAAAAAGACCATGAGGAATTACGAGTTTGTATCATTCAACTCTAGATTTATTTTTACTCTGGAATATAAACCTTTGGATGCCAGATCATTAGTTGGAAGGTTCAGCATTCATTGAGAATTCTGAAGATACCGCGTTTGATTTCTGGTAGAATCGAAAAATGTCCATTACTGACGAGTCCCATACTAGCACTAAAAAGCTATCCATTGCTTCCTGGCTTCAATTGTTGTTTAACCAAAGTCAGTCCATGATGTGACATTTCAAATTTAACAATTTCCGTAACACACAAAATAGTAACAAAATTATTACCTGGAAATCTACCTATAGTACACTTATAATCACTGCATGGACTATTGATAATTGGTATAATAACCTCAGGTTTCAAGCAGTTCATTGGCCATTGAGTACCAACTAATGAAACACACTGACCATGTGGTCCACCAACAGGGTTTTGAAGCCAAATTAAATAAGTACCATTTGGATTGAATCGCGGACATTGAACTGAATAACCAGGCACACTGATTGGTTCGATACTATTCTTTTCTTTGAAGAAGCAAGAAGTGGTAAGATTATCCGAAAAATATAAGTAGTAAATACTATTTTGTAAAAATTAGATAAATCTATGAAAAACTACCATTGGTGGCTTATGGCTTTTCCACATTTAATAAATACGATATATTAGCAATCAAAAAAAGTTTTCATAACAGAGATGTATTTTAAGACATATGCCTCAATGATAAGTGAAAAGTGGGTTTCTCTGAGTTTTCCAATAAGAAGCCATGATCTGTAAGATTAACTACGTAAAAAGTGAGATAATACCTAATCGATGACATTTGTAACCGGTTGGATGACGTTAGGAATTGATTCTAGTTAAGAGAACGTAGACAGATGAGTTGCGATACAGTGAATATGTGCATCATGTTTACTGAGAGGTCTAAAGATCGCTGCCTGGGTTTTGTGAATGGCCGTAAATGTGAATGTTGAAAAGCCTGAAACTAAGGCAAAACACCTGCTTAATGTTCCCTAACTTCCAATAACTTTTTAGCTGACATCAGTCTATGTTGAAAACTATGAAAGAAAGTTGTGGATAAGCTTCATCCTCTAACTTAGGACTTCATCGAAAAAACGTCCACAATGATCACAGAATATTTCTGCTAACTAACGATCAGCTGCTAAAATATTTCCTTCAGGCGTGTTTGGTTCAACCTATTGGTTTTTGAGGAACCAATTAGTTTGAAAATTACTTTCACTTTAAACTAATATAAACAGACAAAACGTTTTGGAGCATTTAACTGTTGATTTTTACCAGATTCTAATTAAACTTATTAAAATTTTACGAGATTCATCACAACCTAAGTCAATAATTAAGAATATCTTATTTGTTGACTTGTTTGAATGATCTTAACTTACTTACTACTTTAGAGGCATTCATGAGGCTAATGTTATCCAACGAAAACTTCACTTTGAAATTTGGAAAAAAAGAGTATAACTTAACACCTCTGTGTATTAATTTATGAACAGAAAAAATTGCTGACTTCATTGTTTTACAAATCAACCATAACTTACTTATGTCCCAAAAATAAAGTTGAGATGGACGTTGAATACAGTAAATTAATCCAAGATTATAAGCTTGCGAAGGATAACCAACAAATATAATCCCGTTATCATCTGGACTCCATAACGGTTCACTGCAAGCTAAATTATGCTTATTTTCATCGATTGGAGCAAAACTAACAGTTTCGGTAGTAAGATCAAGTATACAAAGCTTCGGTTTATGCGATCCTTCATTGCCTTCACCCCAATCCTCTTGGAATGCAAACGATGAAGGGTCATCTTTGAATGACTGATCATTAGTAGTAGTATTCTAGGAATAATAATTAAATTACATAAATTGAAAGAGATTTGATGGATGTATTAATGCTATCTTTGAGCTAATAAAGATTGATCCACAATGGATCACTTTCAAAATTCGGTTTATTTTTTATTGTATTAAAACAGTTAGCACATTGAATCACACACATAGTATCGAAACGACAGGGTGACGACGGGAATGTTGCTAACATTTTCATAAAAATGATTGATCCTAAAGAAGACTTGTAACGATAAAAAGCCACTCAGCTACGAATCAGTAAATCATAAATGAAAATTACAAACATTCTAAAACTGTTGTTAACTGAATAAGAACAATCAAAACTCCACTTTGATGCTTTAGATCCCTATTATGCGGAAAAATATATTCAGTTCTTGATATGTGGTAGTGAAAGTGAAATATGATTGGTCACTGAAAGTTAACAAACAGGCACTCATCCTTCGCAGTATTAAATATGTAGTTTCCCTTCCTCTCATTGATTCCTACACCGCACTCACTAATTGAATAAAGTACTATCTAGTGTTAATTTGATTCTGTTTTTAGGTTGTGAATCCTGGTTCTGATATAACGTAAATAGTCTTATCGTCTTGACGTATTATCGTAATATAAGTGAAATGTATTTTAAACCATCCGTTATGTCGGTTTTTTGTATATCTGTCTGCTTAGAAAGACTAAGTACATCCGATGGGGAACATATTGGGGTTAACAACATCAACAAAATATAGAATTCACCTATAATTTTAGTGTTTGATTGTAAGTCGTAGTGTGATACTATCCGGTTGCTCAAACAAAAAATAAGTGGAGCGGAGTTCGGACCTGTGACTTAAAGATTGAAAGTTGAGTGTTCTAACCGATTGGCTACAACACTACATAGCACAAAACTGAGATATTTGTCAGGTAGCTAATGATGCTTTGACAAATTTGATTTTCACAAATTATTTACCAAATCCAATCATTCAATAATACCGTTAAAAATTTTTACCGACGATGTGCCCTGTGACAAATGATATATTATCCATCAGTAATTTCTCATAGTCACTTTATACAACAGTTATACTTTCGAAGCCCAACACTTGTCTAATTTTCAAAAATTCCTAATAAACAGTCTTGTGGTATTAAGTTCTCTTTTTCGATTTCATCGTCCATTCACTAAACACTGAATACCCTTTACCATAGACAAAGATATAGCTAATTAAATTAGACACTCAACTCTTCCAAGGCTTAGATAAAGTCTTCATTTATTGTGTAGCTTACATTTTAACAAGCGAATGAGTATAAAGTCATTGATCTTCGATGGGTTGTGTTATGTCTGAAGAGATTACGAGTTCACCTAATCTGAGAACGGAACGAAGACTCTGTGACACAATGACAGATGAGCTAGCTATTCCGATGCGTCCCAGCCCCGCTAACTAAAGAGAGAAGTCCAAGTTCGGAAGACGGAAATGTATTCTTCAAGCAGCTAGAAGCATAAACAACGACGACAAGTCTAGTCGGAAATATACTCATTTATATATTGATTAATAATTAGAAAAAAATCACATATATGAAAAATACTTAGTTATGACAAATCATATGCTGAGTATAGTTCATAGATCATAGCTTTCCTAAAGACAGATGATGATTTTTTCCAGTATATTGGCCTCTGTTTAGCTTACTTAGTGCTTTCTCTAGCAAAGCAAATATCATATTTTAATTGGATTCTAGTTCAGTCAGTCAGTCAATCAGTCAGTAACAACGTAGAACTTCATACGTACGTACGAACTTTGAATGAAAACCAAGATGTTTGAACTATATCACAAACAAACCCATAATTCTTAGCTTTAATGCACAACAGACAATAACTAAAAATCAACTTTAGTTTATCGTATAAATCGATAAACTTACACTAAATTTGTAAAATAAAATAAGCAAAAGAAGAAAATTCGAAAGAAAGAAAAAAAGATTAAATCTTCTTAAGACTAATTAGTTCTTAATGCAGCGTTTAGATTAAGAAATAGAGAATTAGTGAAACACATAGAACAGTAATACTTTCCAACAAGTACATTATTTATTTCAACACATATATATTGGTACAAAGAGGCACCAAATACATACGCGCCACACAAATCTCATTTGATACGTGTGAGGGCTGTGATACTGCCCGGGTGCCCAAACCGAAGCAGGTGGTTTTCTTAGGGGGCCACTCCCCAACAAGTACATACTGATGATTAATTGCTGCGTAAGGTTACTACTGACAGTAAGAAATTAAACAATATATACATGCTGAGAGAGGAATATTAAGCGTAAGATTAAAAAAAACTATAATTGATGAGGATTAGATCCCAATATCAAATCGATACATATTATTACTAAACTGCTCCATCTTTGTAATTCGTGAGATCTTGTAAATAAACTTACTTTATATTGTAATTACATTGAAAAGAACTAAAATATGTCTAGAAAGATAATACTTACTAACAGATCACTTTATTATGGTTTTAAATTTGGCCAAGTTTATTTTATTTACATTACGTAATAAGTTGAATTCAGTACATGAACATGTGAACACCTATGATTTGTTCATTTAAATACATAAACAGTGGTACAAAAGGGTACAAAAATATATACGCGCCACGCAAGCTATTGAATTTGTATATGGGCTGGAATACTACCCAGGTGTCCAAACCGAAGTGATTTGACTAGAGGACCAATCCCCAAGCCTTTAACCCAGAAGTTTAAACCACAAGATAGTGGAGCACCATTAGGTGATGCGGTCCCATGGTAGCCGGTCACCAACAATAGTTCCGTACGCTATTTGTTCCCTCAAGATAGTGAAACGCATGTATGCCACTAACTCGAATCAGAATTTTAAAAATCTCCCAGGAGAATCCGCCTTATCCACCAACCCGTTTTAAGCACCGGATATTTGCTTTTCATCGTCTCAATTCCGTAAACAACTACCCTGCCATGAGGAAGCAGTGAATAAGACTTTCCTGGCAGTGGTTATATAGGCGTGGCCATATGAGAGCATCTGGAAAGGGAGCAGACTCTCCCCATCCTCGGCCGTACTAGATAGATATTATTACTTGAAGCTGTTCAATTGAGACGCACTAGATCAATTAATAAAACTTAAAAAGATTACATACTTTATACTGATAATAATACGTCAGAGGTTACGACTTATTAATAAGTAGGTAGGCTTTCAAGAATAGACAAATGAAATTTACACTTATGAAACATATTTTTCCGTTTTCGATAACGTATACGATGATTATAAAAAATGACAAAAACTATTACCTCACTAGGATTATTACACACTTCTGCCAAATAAACAATCTTATCTCTTGCATTCGACCATCGAGCTCCATGGAATGTCGAACCATTCGAAGGATAGACACGACCATGACGAGCATTAAGTGTTGGGAGCTTTATAGAGTTGGTGAAACGTCCATTTATCCACACTTGAATGAAAATACCTGATTCTGCAGTACTAGCGACAGTAGACTTTGAAGGATTTGAAGCCAGTGGAGGATTACATTCGATACATACAGCTCGGTGACAACCTTCAGGAGACTTAATATCCCAAATAGTACGCACATGGTTCTGTGAGGCGAAAGGAAAACACTGTCCAAATGAGGTAAACTGTAGTTGTGAAGTGTAGTCCACATGTAGATTTTCATGCATGTCATGTTGTGGTAAGGTGACCAGATAATTTCTTGAATATGAAACACTGTCTTTTCGAAAAGTGTCAGTCTGCGTCCACTCAGCTATAATAGAGTATTCATTACGGTCAGGACAATTGAAAACTTTGATCTCTGATAACACTGGAGTGTTGAGGAACCCAAATAGCGTCGATAAAGATTTTTTGGGTAGCATGACTAAAAGTTTTGGGATACATCATATTTTTTTCCATCAGCGAAGCAACAAAAAGAAAATATACAAGATAAAACATCGAAAGAAATGAAGTTTATTTGAGGAAAAATAAAAATGTACAAAAATTTGCTTAACGTTTGATAAATGTAATGTATGATGGCAAAATCACTGGACATCATAACTCAACGTTGAAATTTTCCACCTTTTCCAAAGAAGATGCAAGCTTTTGCAAATGAAATTCGAGTTCACCCGGGTCTTTTGATGAAGATATCAAGAACATAATCCACGATTTAACTAGAGTGCAATTATTCTGGAAAACAAAAGGGACATATATAAAAATAAACGGCAAAGAAAAAATATATTGGCAATAATCAGTCGAACAATAAAAACTTCATGTGTAAACTGAATGAAGATATGTAAATTACAGTAGAATCTGCTTTTCATGTAACCATTTAAATCTAGTAACCTTCAACTAGTTTTCACGTTTATAATGAAAAGACAACAAGTGAAATTCTTTAAAAACGAGTGGAAAAATGTCGGCGATTAAAGTACTGACAGACAACTGATAGTTGGCTTGGTTGCATCCTGTCGGTCACAGATTTGACCCTCGACAGAGTATTCAACCAATCAAAATTCATTATGACCCATAGTTCATTGGAAAAGATTTTAAAATATTAGTGAACTACTGATTATCATTCTAGCTTTTGAAAAGTGTTACTCCGTCTGGAGACGTTCTATGGATACTCCAGATCCGATGCCTGGGTAAAAGAGGAGCGCTGAGCATGGGGTTAACAACCCAATTTCATAAAAAAGAACGTTGATTAAAACCAGATAGAAAAGACCACTTACATCATTCCAGTCAGTCAGTCAGCTACAACGTAGGACCAGGCACATATATGCATCGGTCCAGGTTGCCATACCGCATTAGCACAGCAAGATGGACACCGGATTCATAGGAGTGGTTAGGTCAAAGGTGGTAATATATAGGAGAAAAATTGCATATAAGGATACAGTACAGGAAGAATTAGTTAGTAGAAAAAAATGTGGATGACAATCCAAAAGATGACTTTGCACCTGCCAGTTATAATCTTTTTTTTGCATCTTCTATTACCGAACGTTAACGACCAAACAAAAAAATTACAGCTGCATAAACCACTGACAACTACATATCCAGCAGACTTTTTCTACCAAATATCATCACATAAATAAAGTGATCTTCATCAGGGCTGTCTAGTTTCACCATTCTTTATTTAATTTTAGCATTGATGTGCATCTAAAAGTAATGTTCTGTAGAACCAGTAAAACCTCACTGGAACCTAGTCAAATCATCCATCAGGCTGAACTGTTTCTAAGTTAAACGACAGATCACTGATAGTTAGATAGTCTATCGAACATCGTCAAAATCAAGGATGACTTATGCTAGTTAATAAATTGTACATCATGGACTGATACATGCGGCAGTAGTCACACTGTTTCTCCAACCTATTCTTACCAATACATCTTTCTAATAACATCATATTCGTTCTATACGGTTATTAAAGTAGCGCCAGTATCTGGGTACCACGAAAAAAACTTGAGTAGAACTATGAAGGGGTTTGAAATGTTTCCCAGTCCTATTTCCGAAGATTTAAATTGAGGCTTCAGGACCGATCTGAGTCATAAAATAGTTTGGCAACAGTAATAGACGTAACTGAGTAGGTGGACTGCTTCGGTTATCTTTATATACATCATCGAACCACAACACGAAGAACTAGATATGATAAAGCTGGTTCGCGACTCAGGTAGGAAAAATAGATGTCTTCTCCATGTATCAGGAACTTTTCTAGCATATCATGTACACTCACTAAAAACATAATGAAAGAATCATCTGAGAAGTGCGGAAAACTACAGCCACAGTTTTATGGCCTGCATGATCGGTTGGTACGAGTCCCTTTGAACAAAGTCTGATAAGCATTGCATTATTCTGAGATGGCATACCAGTGTATGTCTTCTAAAAGAACCCATCCATTTAGTCGAAGGCATCGAGTCGTGTGCCTAGTACTATACGAAACTATCAAAAAATCAACTGTCAGCTGACATCTGTAGCAAAATGCATATGTTATTCGAGTACCCACACCAAACCAAGTAGATCTTTAAAGAGACCACTCACGATGACTTTGACCAGTGATTCTGATTCATGGAGCAATAAAGAAACGTTATCGAATACATTTATATAATGGTCAGTAACTGTAATAAATTCATATACTATTCATTATATCAGAATCCCGGGAACCACGTATATGGGCAATATTGATCAAGGACCGAAATTTGCCAAATCTTCTAGATCCGTCCAGCTTAGCCGCCGACATTGTATTAAGCGATCAAAGTACAAAATACAAATAAACCAAAAGCACGATCAGTACTCAGTAGTTGAAATAGTAAACAATATGATCCTGTATGGAAATGAAAAATCTAATCCATACAGAAAAACGATAGTGAATTTCTTACACAATTCGGAGCAATAGTGTCTTATTGAAAATATCATTGTCTGGAAACTTGAACTTCTGGAAATATAAACATATACATGCAAAAGAATGGATATTTGAACAGAAACTTTAAAATCACATTACAGACCATAGACTAGAGCATACCTTAAGTGAATTAGCTATAGACTTTGAAGAGGGTGAGGAATCAGATGAATTCCGTGAAGTTTCTTGCTTCTGTATCATCCAAGAATATAGATTATTGAGGAGAACGATCATTTTCAGAGAAACTGATATGGGTGCACTCGAAGACAATGAATACTCCAAAGTTTTCATAAATTCCTCATGATCCTGAAGCCATATATGAAAGCTATAGATATACCTGTGTAAGAATTTCACCACAACAATCTATGTCACAGGACAGATTCACAAAAACTACTAGTAGATTTCGTAGGACATATGGATCGCCCATTTTTAACATATTACAGAGATAACCACATTTATTACGTAGCAATTTGCATCCATCTGGAGTTAATGCTATATTACCGAGGACCTGAAGAGCAACGCATGCTTGATCACTGTATTCCACTGTATTTGCTATTAATAAAATATCATCGAGATAGTCCTAAAGAGATTATTTGAATGGAAATCTCATACCTTTATGATTGGAAAATTTTGTTGATCGCACACCAAGTTCATTACAACGTGAAGAATGTTTAGGTTTTGCTGGCGTCCTGATAACGTCCCTGAGGTAGAATCCAGGAGAGATAGGAGGAGTTCTAGGCACTTAGAGTCCCTAATGACATCCTGAAATCAAATAGTTAATGAAATTAATTAATTACAAAGTTCCGACGAAATGATGAAGCTTGATGAAGACTGATGATAAGCTTCTGTCTTGTGTCATAATCAGATATATTGATCAGTGTACAGATGGATGTACAGAAATCAAGCGTTAAATTTCCCTTGTCGAATTCGATAACTTTAGGGAGTGACGTATCGCCTAATGTGAAACGAGGCACTGATGGCTTGAACGAGACTTTTTTAACATGCGGTCTTTGAAATAGTCTCGAGAAACAAAACAGAGTGAACGCAGACGCCACAAAAACAGACGATGCCACAAAGATAGATGTCCTGTTCATGTATTCAAGCTCAGATATTGTTATTACCTATCAGGTCATTAAATGAACAATACTATCTCCTGACAGAAATTAACCAATTTACGGGATAGAACAGATGGAGGACTAGCATAAGCTGAAGCTGAAGAACACCAACCACATTTATTTGAACTGGAATCAGAAAATGCACGTCAATATAGCAAAATAAGTTTGCAGTTCTAAAAATGAAACAGGAAAATCAAAATCCTAAAATTTAAGAAATTTCGAAGTGTACCAATAATAACGGAAATAATTATAAACCAACACAGTGTACACTATTTACATCAAAAAATCGATTCGCACTAGTATCAAACGCTCTGACAAATGTATTTTGGAAGGCCTAAACCATAAATAATTGTTTAAAATATATTGGGGCGTTATATTGGAGAAAAATCACGTCTTTCCTCAGCAGGTCAAGTTGGATGGAGAAATAGTGGCCAATGCTACCATTAAGAAACATCATACATTCGGACGGAAGGATCTCTTCACAATTAAATTCGCCTTCACCTTATGAGGGAACCTATTACTAGAAACCTGCACAAAATCCAGTGTTGATCTTTGCATAACTGACGGTAGTAAAATACAATCAGCCGAAAGTGCAACAAACGACAGTTGTCAAAATAGTGGGGTACCTAATTGTGAAGGGATTTCGTGTGATTGGATTTCATAACCAATATGGTTTCCAAACCACTGTGAGTGAAGCGAGTGAGTACCAAACAGACATAAAGGATTGTGGTGCATGAAGTAACTGAATTTAGGAATACAGCTGACTAAGCGAAACGTGACTCCACTACATCGTTACAAGCGTTGCTGTGAAAGTCAACTTTTGTGTCTGAAAATTTTGGTTCAACAAGACTAGGGTTATCTTTACAAGAACTCCCGTATACTAACTGGAAATGAAACTTCAGATGGTTGAGTTCTATCCTTAACTTTCTCAACTGATTTAAGAGAGGCTAGTTTATGTCATCCCATGAACTTCGCGTATTTGAAAAGCTTATTTGAGAAGTCCTTATTATCATGAGATGAAGTGAATGATCACTGGTTGTTTTGACTCTCATCTCTATTTCAGATCATTTGTTTGTTAATTGACAAGAAGTTCATAGTCACGCTATTTTGGTTCTATATTATGTACATAAACATATCACAATATATATTCACACATTTAGTTAGTGGGGTAATTTTTTCTTCTGAAATCTATTCCGTTGGCTTTTAGAAACCAATAAAATAGGGCAGTTCTTAGGTCCCCAATCTCATTCGCAGTGACAACCTAGCGAATCACTCAAGCCTATCTCATATTGATAAGACTTTAGTATGAGCTGTTGTGAAACCCTAAAGTTATGAGTATCTCCCCTTACTATCCTTACATCTGTGGCACTTAGTTGTGTTTACCTTCGCAACTATAAATCTTGAGTAGTAAACACATCTCCCATTTATAATGGCTGGTGAGTTTGTTATTTTACTCATAATAAATTTCGAAATATTCATGATTCCGATTTTCCAACTTTGAGGAAAATTTCGCCAATTTTGAAGGAGTTTCATTAAAGGTTGTAAAAATGGGACAAAAAGCCCAAAAATATTGTAAAAGTTTTAGGGTTTACTAAACAACATTGTGCTACATCTAGGACTCCAGTCAGAGAGCCGTGAAAGATCAACAAAAGCCAGTCCTGTACAGCCTTCTTTCATACCATGACACTATGTCGTGTACTGACCTCCCCCAGGATCGACAAATAATGCGTGGTGTAGAATTTGCTGTGACGACATTCGTATATACATGTCCAAGCCATCAAAGTCGGTGTCCCACGATGGTGGCATCAATTAAATGGTCGTCACTGTACCTAGATACATGCTGCCGAAGCTCCACGCTATTAACATGATTTTCCTACTGAATGTCAGCACTCGAGTGCTGGCGCGTTTTTCTCTTTCTCTTCCAACGCATTTTCCCCTTTATTTCCCCTTTGTTGGTTACTTGGGTCTTTTGGAGAAAACGATGATCAAACACAGACAGTTGTCTAGCATCCTCAACTCGGAGAGGCCAGGTTTTACAAGCATACAGAAAAAATGCTGTCACTGACGCGTTGCAGATCTGACCTTTTAAAGCCAGACTAACCACGGAGCCAGAGATGAACCAGATTGGCATAAGCCATCCTGGCTTTCATCATAAGTGAACTTATCTCATTACTCACACCAGCACCAGCACTTACGCATATACTCAGATACGCCGTTTTATTTGTTATAGCCGCTCAATTATCACGTTTTGTATAAAATCCCCTATGAAACGATCGTACGTTACCATTAGGTACTGAAGTTGGCGCCGTAACCTTGAAATCTCTAAAACGTTTCTGATTGTCTAATCCATTAACTAGAGTCTCGCCGTTGAGCTCTGTCCTTAACAAGTAAGTAAAAAACTTTGGGGAATTATCTTACAGCTTTTTACCTCGCTGTACCGAAAATTTCAAATGACCAAACAGTTGGGCAGGAGTATTTATTTCACGCTACAAGGTCATATGGTAAGCCACTCAAGGACAAACGTTGGGCTCGGCCTTAAACGGGTTTGTGCCTATCTACGCTGAATACTGGGAGAGTTTGAAAAGCAGTGTGTGATAATTGTCTTCAGAATGATTTAATTTCACGGCTGTTGTTGCTAATTATTTTTGGCTGCTCTCACCATCAAATGTAGGCGCATTCTATATGCTGAGTCAACGGCTCACCTTGACTTTTTTCATTTATCTTCCAGACTCTCTCATGCAGTCGACTCTTCACAACCTCACTTCCTTATCGTAGGTTTTGCCCGTTCGCCATTACGCATAGGGCCGACTCATGTTTACAAAAGATGACTGCAACTACCATGTGGAACCAGAAATGTCACAAACCACACCACAACTACTGGACCACCTCTATTTTCGAAAACACATCGACTAGCCTCCGAAAAGCTAAGACTGGCCGAAAATGAATTCGACCGCATGACGGACTTAGGAATTATCCAACCATCGAACAGTCCATGGGTATCTCCTTTGTATATGATCCTCCCAAAGGACTCTTGAAAACCCGTACCAGTTGCTGAGTCTCAATATTCATTTATTTTCAAATCATGAATTTGAATTGTATTAATAATCGGAAACATAAGATAATGCCTTGAGCTGAATTTTACAGGCTTTCATCCAAATATTGCCTCGTTTACCCCCTCAAATGGTCACTTCCCTCAAAGCATGACAATTTTAGTTTCAATTCTAGAGTTGGGACTCTTCTTTATGAGCGCTAAGTGGTGTACTTTTTTATCGAGTTGTTGCCTATTCTTCTCTCCAAGTGATTAGGTTAGTGTTATATTTGCTGTGTCTATACTCGATGACTGGGGTGAAATGAATAAGTAAGAGCTGGAATACAAATATTCATTATTCTGTATTGAAGTAACTAAATTAAGTACCACGTACATTATTGATTAATAAACACAGGATAATTGGACAGAGCGGACACAACTGAATTGGAATGATAGTAGTAGGTGAAGATGCCACAGGTATTCGGACTTTGACAACGCTTTAACCAGTAACACCTAATATAACTCGTACCCATCGAGTGAAATCAAAAGACAGAAGAGAAGAGTCTCGAAGATACATTTTCTGGACTATCAATATATCTGGGATTGTCTGATCTAATCTGGCTAGCGATTGCAGTAGATGTTGAGCATGGCGTTCCCACTCGTGATCTAGTGCGGATGCATGACCAAGCTCCTTTAGCTAGGTGAGTTCATGAGCTATTTATTTTGGGGATTTATTTGCCGCTACAGATCACTCCTCCCCCAGTGGGGTAGTGATGACCCTAAGACGTGGCCAGACAGAAGTTTAAACCCAACGATCTTGTCGTTGGTAAACACTCCTCTGATAGCTTGCTAAGTTTAGCAGCGTCCGGTCGTCTTTCCTTACTATAAGGGACCACGAAGTACAATATAGTATAAAAAGAAAAAGTACAATGAAGATTTCGGTTCCGCGTAAACTTCATCGTTCTTTTCCAGCCATCCTGGAAAAGAAAAAAGAAAATGTAAGTGCATGTCGAAATACACAAAGTGAGAGAAAAATGGAAAATAAAGTCATGCATACTTAGTAGCGTTAAAAACAAGTATTTTTATAATATGTTTCTTTTGTTTTTTTGAAATAAAAATAAAGATGTATGAGCATATTAAAATTGTTTTTTTTTAATTATATATGGTACAAAGGAAAATCGAGACGATATAAAATGTCAACCAGTATCTTACGTGCAATAGTCGTTTAAATGTTCTGGAAATCTAACTCTTCTTCCAGAACGCGTCGTTTTAAGTTTATTTTCAGATACATTCGGAGTAACATCGCGTGTGTTGGTTGTCGATTGAGGAATTATGAGCGGAGTCGTGTCGTTCGATTGTATCGAAGGAAAATCGACGTAGATAGGATCTCCTTCTAAATACGCTGCTTTGAGGCGATTGATGCTGATGCTATCGTTGGTTCCGTTCTTATCGATTATATAGTACTTCGGTTCGCGTTGAAGAACTTTGAAAGGTCCTTCGTATGCTGATTTGAAAGGTCGTCGATGCGAGTCTCGACGAACGAAAACGTGTGTACTATATCGTAAGTCAGGTTGAACAAAAACATCGGTTGATTGCGATCGAGTGGAAACAGGTTTAACTGAACGCATTGCGTTTATAAGCCTGTTCGTGTAGTAGGTTAGATCCATGTTCATTGAAGAGGACGAAGGATCCACGAATTCTCCTGGAAGTCGAAGTGTCGTTCCATAAACGAGTTGAGCCGCAGTGTATCCAATGTCAGCTTTCACTGCATTGCGAATACCCAGTAAGACAAGTGGAAGAGCGTCGGTCCACTGTGAAACGTTTGCAGCTGATAGTGAAACTTTTAGTTGTCGGTGAAAGCGTTCTACCAACCCGTTTGCTTGTGGCTGGTAGGCAGTCGTTCGGAAGCGAGTGGTTCCTAAAAGTGTGGTCAGACGACGGAAAAGTTCAGATTCAAACTGACGTCCGCGGTCTGTAGTGATGGTTGAAGGGCAGCCGAAGTTTGCTACCCATCGTTCGACGAAGGCGCGAGCCACTGTTTCAGCAGTGATGTCCTCGAT